GAGTGTCCATGAGGCGGGATGAGTGTCCACGAGGTGGGAAAAGTGTCGAGGGAATGGGATGAGTGACCACGGGTGTGGGATAAGTGTCCACGGGGTTTGATGAGTGTCCATGAAGTAGGATAAGTGTCCAGAAGGTGGGATGGGTGTCCACGAGATAGGATGTGTGTCCACATGGGGGGATGAGTGGCCACGAGATGGGATGAGTGTCCATGAGGTGGGATGTGTGTCCACGAGGTGGGATGAGTGACCACGGTGTGGGATGAGGGTCATGAGGTAGGAGAAGTGGCCACATGGGGGATTGAGTGGCCACATGGTGGAATGAGTGGTCACATGGGGGAATGAGTGGTCACATGGGGGAATGAGTGGCCACGAGGTGGGATGACTGGCCACATGGGGGGGGATGAGCGACCATAAGGAGGGATAAATGACCACAAAGTTGGATGAGTGTCCACAAGGTGGGATGAGTGAAAATGAGGTGGTATGAGTGTCCATGAGGTTGGATCAGTGGCCATGAATGAAGATTAGAGCCATCCAGGGGTGGGATGAGTGGCCGCGAGGTGACATGAGTGGCCATGAGATGGGATGAGTGTCCATGAGGTGGGATGAGTGAAAATGAGGTGGTATGAGTGACCACGAGGTGAGATGAGAGCCATGAGGTGGTATGAGTCGTCACGAGGTGTGATGTGAGTCCACGAGGTGGGATGTGTGTCCAGGGGGTGGGATGAGTGTCCACTTCGGGGGATGTGTGGCCACGAGTCGGGATGAGGGTCGCGAGGTTGGATGGATAAATGACCACAAGGTGGGATGAGTGACCACAAGGTGGGATGAATGTCGACGAGGGGGAATGAGTGTCCATGAGGTGGGATGAGTGTCCTTGAGGTGGGATGAGCGTCGTCCACAAGGTGGGATCAGTGGCAATTAGGTTGGATGTGTGTCCATGGGGTGGGATGTGTGAAAGGGAGGTGGGATGAGTGGCCAAGAGTTGGGATGAGTGTCCAGGAGGTGGGATTAGCGTCCATGAGGTTGGATGTGTGTCCAGGGGGTGGGATGAGTGTCCATGAGGTGGGATGAGTGGCCACGAGTCGGGATGAGGGTCATGAGGTTGGATGAGTGACCACAAAGTGGGATGAGTGTCCATGAGATGGGATGAATGGCCACAAGGTGGGATGAGCATCCACAAGCGGGGATGATTGTCGACGAGGGGGAATGAGTATCCATGAGGTGGGATGAGTGTCCACGGGGTGGGATGAGTGTCCACGGGGTGGGATAAGTGTCCACGAGGTGGGATAAGTGTCCATGGGATGGGATGACTGACAACGAGGCGGGATAAGTGTTCATGGGATTGGATGAGTGTCCATGAGGTGGGATGAGTCTCCATGAGGTGAAATAAATGTCCAAGGGGGTGGGATAAGTGTCCATGGGGTGGGATGAGTGTCCTTGAGGTGGGATGAGTGTCCTTGAGGTGGGATGAGTGGCCACGAGGTGGGATGATGGTCATGAGGTAGGATTAGTGGATAAGAGGTGGGATGAGTGTACATGAGGTGGGATAAGTGTCCCACGGGGGTTGGACTCATCTCACACCTTGAACACTCATCCACGTCATGACACTCATCCGACCTCAATGGCGTACAAATAAATAAAACCGACAGGAACCCCCCCCCCCCTAAAAAAACAAAACAAACAAAAACAAACAAAAACAACAACAAACAAACTAAGTACAAATATCGAGGTAAGACCAACACAGTTCAAGCCCCGTTTAGTTAGGAATGTGCCATACTGTCATACTGTAGGTAAATTAATATTATAATGAAACAATGAAAGTATTGGCCCATGAAGTGAGTTAAATTATATTATAAAGGTAATCATGCCATGCACATTAATGTCACTTTATTATAATCAATACAGGAACACAATTATAGATAACTATGGAAACCTAGAAGGGACATATGTCGCGCTGTCGCCCTTACGAAAACTAACTAACTAACTAAGCTATATGACGGCGGTCTGTAAATAATGGAGTCTGGACAAGACAATCTAGTGATTGACATCATGAGCATTGATCCACGCAATTGGGATACGATGAACCTGATAAACCCGATCCCGCAAGTCGCCTCTTACGACAAACATGGATTGCTGAAGACCAATTCTCGGCCGGATGTTGACATCTACATGGGTGAGGTGAGGTGAAATGGGTTTAACGTCGTGTCCAAGATTATTGCACTTATATAGCGACGTGCATGTACGTGTGTGTTTGTGTGGCTGCTTGTACTAGTCCGGACTGATGCCATGCCGCAGTTTCACATGAATACCCCATTCAGTATACGGACTCCGATCCGACCAGTCCTTGTTTTAGTCCCATAATGCCGAGCGCCAGACAGGGTTACAAGTACCATCTTTTAACGTCTTTTGGTATGACATGGTCGGGGATCGAACCCCGTACCTTCAGCTCTCCGGGCGGACGCTCTACCACTAGACCACGGAGGTGGTCCCCATCTACATGGGTAACCCTTCAGCAGTTACACTGAATATATAAAACAGCCCTGGTATCAAGGTTCCCTACTGTGTGCTGTGACGGTAAGTGTGTGCAAGGCATTTTTTATGCCTCTGTTGTCAAGTTCCCATACACAGGAGATATCGCCTGGAACAGATACAATGAAATTTGCTGACCATTGTGATTGCATTGGTTACTACATCACTAATCTCTCTTCCATCCAAGACCCTGCCCATTACTGTTTAGATACTGAAAAAGTTGGAAGAATCATTTTGTTGGTACATAGAACCTCACGAAGACTGGGTCTTTTCAAAGACTCCTGATATGAACTACTTTCAAAAAAGCTGTCATTAAGTTTACACAACATTTGTGCAGCTACTCCGAATATAACAGGGTAATAAAGAAGTTACTACAAATACTGAACCCGCCACCCAAAAAGTGAGTGAGTGAGTGAGTTGGGTTTAACGCCGCTTTTAACAATATCCCAGTTATATCACGGCGTGTCAGCTTAATGTGGGAGGAAAGCCCCAAGTGATGCAGGTCTCAGACGTTTACCACTTTGGTGAAACCCACGAGCACGGGTATGGTGCTGACAAACCTAGAAACATAATCGGGGCGAACCGGGATTCGAACCCACAATCATAGGTTTCTGGCGTGCCCAAGGGACGCAACTCTGCACAGCGAATCGCGGCGCCTTAGATGACTGGGCCACCCGTGCCCCTGTCACCCAAATAAGAAGCCAGTACTTTAAATTACTAAAAGAAGTATATTATATAATACCCCCAAATAACATAATTTGTGTACTGTACTTGGGTTGCCATTGCAATCAGTTGGTCCCACGTAACCCATTGTCTTTACACATTCGTTTGTTTAATTGTTATTTAACGCCGCACTTGGCAAAACTCCATCCATATGACGTCAGCCTGTAAATAATCAATCTCATTAAAATCAGATCTCAGTTCTCGCTACCACTAAACAAAGATCTGAGGACATCCTATTTGGGGTCACGTCAGAACGACCTTTCATCCGACCAATCAGAGCATCGTTTACCAGATTATGAAAGTGACAGTCGGAATGTGATTTCTAATCATGCAACCTCGATAAAAAAACTGAACAAAAGTTACGGGTTTAACGACTGAATCCATACAATCAAGACCATCTATTAGCCATTCCAGAATGTTTTTTTGTTCAGGTTTTAAATTTGTAATCGAAAATTTGTCAAAATATGTTTTGAAGCGTAGTCGCCAATTTGAAATTAGTGCTGTAAAGCACGAGATAGCTGCCTTCTGATTGGTCAGTCCATTGGTCGGTCAAAGTTCGCGCAAGGTCGGTCTGACGTGACCCGTACTGGGATGTCCTCAGATCTTTGTAAAGCGGTAGCGAGAACTCAGATCTGATTTGAATGAGATTGGTAAATAATCACGTCTGTACCAGAAAAACCAGCGATTGACATTAACAATGATTCACGCCATCAGGGTACAATGATATGTGATCAAAGGAGTCACAGAGCCTGACCACCAGGGGCCTGTTTCACAAAGCGACTGCAGTGCTACGACTACCACTTCTCCTATACTTTAACATAGATTTACGACTGTTGCTAGCTACGCTTTGTGAAATGGCCTCTGATCCAGTAAGTCGCTTCTTACAACCAACAGGCTGCTGTCTAACCCCTACAGGGACAGGAGGCTCTGGAGGCTTCCTAGTTGGTGTCAGCCTCAAGACTTGCTGCAATTAGCTGTAAAACAAAAACAAAGTCCTTTTTCTTCTTCTTAAATAAACTGTTTAATAGACGGTCAGACACAAGCATAAGTAGAATATAACTGATACATTGGTGAAACAGGTTTCTTCAACAACTAGGACGGAATGTGCATGCTTCACCAACATGGACGGCACGACTACAGCGTAAAACTAAACCTCATCACTGTAGCACAACACCTACAATGAGGGCACCCGCCTCAACAGTAACAATACCATACAAGATCATTGGAGTCAGTGACTGAATTTAACAGTATTTCAGTTATAGCATGGCGCCAGTTTTTTTAAAGTCAGAATTTCAAGCCCTTATGAGCATAACAGATCAAGTATCACAACCTGGGTGAATATATGATTTGAATCTTTGTCCAGCAGATCCTTGCATTACAAAGGGACACCACTCTGGTGGATTTGAAACTCTTAAACAAACTAAGGTGTGATCACTGGTGGGAACAAGCATGTGAAGTTTTTGCTTCATTGTTCCAGTGTTTTACTGAGATGACAAAACAGGTCATGACATAAGCTCACACGACTGTAGTCAGGTGAGCTAACAAACTCAACATGTGCATAATGTCAACAAGAACAAGTGTTAGTGTAAAAACAAACATTGGATAAAATGAGACAGGCACATTGAACAAATCTGCACCAAGATTACATTTAAATCATGTACATGGTAGGGTCACAAACCATTCCTTGACAACCAAGGATATCCTGAGTATTGTACACCAGTTGCATCCTTTAACAGAGGATGCTGATACTACTCCATGCCATCATCCCACTCAAACTGGGGATGCCATTTACTGCCTGCAGGAGTGAAGATATCAGGGAGCCACCATATTCTTGGGGAGACAGGGGTGGGAGTAGGGGTGTGGGAGTAGGGATGTGGGTGTAGGGGTGGGAGTAGGGGTGTGGGAGTAGGGGTGGGAGTAGGGTTGTGGGAGTAGGGGCGGGAGTAGGGGTGCGGGGTGGGAGAAGGTGCGGGGTGGGAGAAGGTGCGGGGTGGGAGAAGGGGTGGGGTGAGGGGTGGGAGAAGGGGTGGGAGTAGGGGTGTGGGAGTAGGGGTGTGGGAGTAGGGGTGTGGGAGTAGGGGTGGGAGTAGGGGTGGGAGTAGGGGTGCGGGGTGGGAGAAGGGGTGGGGTGAGGGGTGGGAGTAGGGGCGGGAGTAGGGGCGGGAGTAGGGGCGGGAGTAGGGGCGGGAGTAGGGGCGGGAGTAGGGGTGGGAGTAGAGGCGGGAGTAGGGGCGGGAGTAGGGGTGTGGGAGTAGGGGGCGGGAGTAGGGGTGGGAGTAGGGGTGTGGGAGTAGGGGTGTGGTAGTAGGGGCGGGAGTAGGGGCGGGAGTAGGGCAGGAGTAGGGGGGCGGGAGTAGGGGTGCGGGGTGGGAGAAGGTGCGGGGTGGGAGAAGGGATGGGGTGAGGGGTGGGAGAAGGGGTGGGAGTAGGGGTGTGGGAGTAGGGGTGGGAGTAGGGGTGGAAGTAGGGGCGGGAGTTGGGGTGGGAGCAGGGGCGGGAGTAGGGGCGGGAGTAGAGGCGGGAGTAGGGGCGGGAGTAGGGGTGTGGGAGCAGGGGGCGGGAGTAGGGGTGTGGGAGTAGGGGTGTGGGAGTAGGGGTGTGGTAGTAGGTGTCGGAGTAGAGGTGTGGGAGTAGGGGTGTGGGAGTAGGGGTGTGGTAGTAGGTGTGGGAGTAAGGGTGTGGGAGTAGGGGTGGGAAATGGATGACAGGACTTGTGTTGGGGAGCAATTGTTTTCGGTCAGTGCTACTGTTTTACTGCTACAAAACACTTTAAGGCTTGTTAATCTTTTAATCACATTTGTTCAGGACATCCTACATGTCCAGTGTTCAATTTATTTTTTCTTGTAAAACCTGAGAAAAAACATTTTTGTGAGGTTTTTACCTGAACAAAGTATATTTTTTTTAAATCACTACTAATCCACTCCACCACCACCAGCCTGAATATAAAATGGTGGCTCTCTCACACTCCATATTCTGAAGAAGATTGAAAACAAAAGAACATTTTTGTAACATTTGGTCTGTCTGATTAACATGATACATACACGGTTATATCCATGGCTAAAGGCCTAGGGAAATGTTACATATGTTGTCCTGTTTATGTTATAACTCAAACACAAAAAACATATACATCTGCAAAAAGGTTAAGCACAGCTACTTCTTTAGTTTTACATCCAATCTTCCATGGATGTTTGGAAATATCTATACTCACACGCAGAACTATACGAGTTTTAGAATGTAGTGAAGCCTGATGGTGTTATCAATATTTTTGTTTGCATTTTGGAAGCCCCTAGCAACATAAAAAACGAATCACCAAAACGCACCATTCCAATGAATATGTTGGTATCATGCACCCATTTCTCGCGAAATTGAAAATGCATGAACTGTCACAAACTGTAGTGGGTATAAAACTGTGGCCGATTCTTGGACCTACCACTCCTTGGTCAACAATGCCACGCCTAACTCAAATTCAGAGAAACCAGGCTATCGGATGTTTGGAAGCTGGACTGTCTGTCCAAGATGTTGCCTGTCATTTCAACGTTAACATAACCACAATTTACCGTCTCCTGCATCGATACAATGCTACACAGACCACAGATGAGTCAGCACATGTCGAAGCACTGAGTCAGCATATGTTGAAGCACCGAGTCAGCACATGTCGAAGCACCGAGTCAGCACATGTCAAAGCACCGAGTCAGCACATGTCGAAGCACCGAGTCAGCACATGTCGAAGCACCGAGTCAGCACATGTCGAAGCACCGAGTCAGCACATGTCAAAACACCAAGTCAGCACATTTCAAAGCACCGAGTCAGCACATGTCGAAGCACCGAGTCAGCACATGTCGAAGCACCGAGTCAGCACATGTCGAACACCGAGTCAGCACATGTCGAAGCACCGAGTCAGCACATGTCAAAACACCAAGTCAGCACATTTCAAAGCACCGAGTCAGCACATGTCGAAGCACCGAGTCAGCACATGTCGAAGCACTGAGTCAGCACATTTCAAAGCACCGAGTCAGCACATGATGCGAAGACGCAGAGAATGTAGCTGAAAGGGAAGTCCAACAACTGTTGCCCAGGGGCACTTACAGAAAATTATCTGGTGCCATGTTTTGTATTTCAATGTGTTACTTTGTAATATGTTTAATATGTTTTTTGTTTGAGAATTATAACAGGCAAATTCTCAAATTGGCTCTATAATATGAAACATACATTTGATGTAACCCCTTTCCAGGTATACATAGACATCAATGAGAGGTGATGCACCTTAGGGAGTGAAGACCCATACAGCAAGTGAAGGTCCACACAGCAAGTGAAGACCCACACAGCAAGTGAAGGTCCACACAGCAAGTGAAGGCCCATACAGCAAGTGAAGGCCCACACAGCAAGTGAAGGCCCATACAGCAAGTGAAGGTCCATACAGAAAGTGAAGGCCCACACAGCAAGTGAAGGCCCACACAGCAAGTGAAGGTCCACACAGCAAGTGAAGGTCCACACAGCAAGTGAAGGTCCACACAGCAAGTGAAGGCCCACACAGCAAGTGAAGGCCCACACAGCAAGTGAAGACCCACACAGCAAGTGAAGGCCCACACAGCAAGCGAAGGTCCACACAGCAAGTGAAGGTCCACACAGCAAGTGAAGACCCACACAGCAAGTGAAGGCCCACACAGCAAGCGAAGGTCCACACAGCAAGTGAAGGCCCACACAGCAAGTGAAGACCCACACAGCAAGTGAAGGCCCACACAGCAAGTGAAGGCCCACACAGCAAGTGAAGGTCCACACAGCAAGTGAAGGCCCATACAGCAAGTGAAGGTCCACACAGCAAGTGAAGGCCCACACAGCAAGTGAAGGTCCACACAGCAAGTGAAGGTCCACACAGCAAGTGAAGGCACATCTGACTGGAGAGGTAAATGAATGCGAATATACAACACATTTGACTTTGTACAAACTTGATGTGATGTAATCGACAGTTAGCTTAGCTCAACATCAAACAAAAGCAAATTCAGAACTTTACAAAAAAACACCAAGACATTTGGCTTTCAGTGGTGAAAACTAACTAAAACTATCAACAATGTAACAGGTTGTTTAATCTACTGTATCATTGCTACAATTCATTTCATCAGAACAAATTCACAGAAAAAACAATGGACTAGAGACTGATTTCCTGGGTGGTGAAAACATACAGGGGTATGATAATGTACTGAGGGTTGTAAATGTCACAGCAAGTACCATTGTGTACAGGTAGACTACATCAGTTTGGTCGGGTCCCTCGAAAGTACAACATAATCTTCTTACAAAACATATCTCATACCACCCTTACTTAGGCTGATTGGTACTCCGTAAGTACAACATAATATTCTTACAAAACATATCTCATACCACCCTTACTTAGGCTGATTGGTCCTCCGTAAGTACAACATAATCTTCTTACAAAACATACTCATACCACCCTTACTTAGGCTGATTGGTCCTCCGTAAGTACAACATAATATTCTTACAAAACATACCTCATACCGCCCTTATACAGGCTGATTGGTCCCCTCTAAGTACAACATAATCTTCTTACAAAACATACCTCATACCAACCTTACTAAGGCTGATTGGTCCTCCGTAATTACAACATAATATTCTTACAAAACATACCTCATACCATCCTAATACAGGCTGATTGGTCCTCCGTAAGTACAACATAATATTCTTACAAAACATACCTTATACCACCCATATACAGGCTGATTGGTCCTCCGTAAGTACAACATAATATTCTTTCAAAAACATACCTCATACCACCCTTACTTAGGCTGATTGGTCCCCCGTAAGTACAACATAATCTTCTTACAAAACATACCTCATACCATCCTTACTTAGGCTGATTGGTCCTCCGTAAGTACAACATAATCTTCTTACAAAACATACTCATACCACCCTTATACAGGCTGATTGGTCCTCCGTAAGTACAACATAATATTCTTTCAAAAACATATCTCATACCACCCTTACTTAGGCTGATTGGTCCCCCGTAAGTACAACATAATATTCTTTCAAAACATACCTCATACCACCCTTATTCAGGCTGTTTGGTCCTCAGTAAGTACAACATAATATTCTTTCAAAACATATCTCATACCACCCTTACTTAGGCTGATTGGTCCCCCGTAAGTACAACATAATATTCTTTCAAAACATACCTCATACCACCCTTATACAGGCTGATTGGTCCTCCATAAGTACAACATAATTTTCTTACAAAACATACCTCATACCACCCTTATACAGGCTTATTGGTCCAATTAACAATATGATGGGGAGCACTGGCTGAGCCTCTTCAACTACATCGTCCCAACTAGCTTGATGACGAAGTGTTCCCAGTGTTCCTGGGCCTACTGGCTGGGGCTGATACCCTAGTGGGTCGATATGTTAACCTGCACATACATGACTGACAATCTCTTTCCCTTGCATGTGGCAAGCTTGGCACATTACATCATGAGCATTGATGGTTTCTCCTGAACACACAAAATCATTTAAAACAAGAAATATTTGTGACATACTGTTTTAACAAGAATATTAAAATAGAAATATTCAATGTTGAGTTGTCCCAACCTGTCATGGGCTAACATGAGAAAATATAACGTCAAACTCTCGACTGCTGAAACTATTGGTTGAGCACAAGCACCTCACTTCACACGAATAGAAGAGCCCCATTAGTTCATATTAGATGCTGAAGCTTTGTTTTTCTGAATTCACCAATATCCCTGTAATAACTATAGAGTCCTGTGTTTCACATTTGTGATATTTTGGCTTGATCAATAAACGAAGTAAGAACCAAATAATAACATTGGTTTCAAAACCGAGATCATAAATGTGGCGGGCATTACTTGATTGCTTGGGTTCAGTCAACCCCCGGTTCCAGCTGACAGGACACCTGGAGGACATAAAGTGTTCTTCCATCACTGGAGCTGCTCACACACGTACATGAACCTTGTTCCCTGTACATTTCCTGCACACTGTACACGAGTGAGTCCCACTTGGTTTACGTAGTCTTCAGTCCCACTTGGTTTACGTAGTCTTCAGTCCCACTTGGTTTACGTAGTCTTGCAGTCCGACTTGGTTTACGTAGTTTTCAGTCCCACTTGGTTTGCGCGGTCTTGCAGTCGGACTTGGTTTACGTAGTCTTGCAGTCTGACTTGGTTTACGTTGTCTTGCAGTCTGACTTGGTTTATGTAGTCTTGCAGTAGGACTTGGTTTACGTAGTCTTCAGTCCCACTTGGTTTACGTAGTCTTGCAGTTCCACTTGGTTTACGTAGTCTTGCAGTCTGACTTGGCGATGTGTCGTTGTCTTTTACTTCCTGGTCTGGCTTATCTACAGGTCATATCATGTTCATACATGTTTCATGGGTCAAGTTAATACCTCGGCTTAACTATGTGATTGGCTTATCTACGCTTATATTGGGTAAGTCAGCAATATTCCAGCTACATCATGGTGGCTGGTAGATAACTGAGCCTGGCATACCAGTGGTCAATAGAGTGACAACAATTGAACACATAAAACAACTTCAAGCCATTAGAGATATACACAAGTGTAGTCCAAGAATGAAGTACCATATCATTAACATATACACGTTCCTCACAACAATAAGGAGTTTAACTGTTTGTGTCAAATATTCCATGAATCGACAGTCAGTGAATATCATAACTGACACAAAATAACAAACATACCATAATTGACATACCGGGTAATAAGCACCATGGGTGCTTAGATACTTGACAAGGGGGCAGGCTCGCTTATCAAAAACATACACAAGTTAGATTTGTTTTCAGATATTGATCAGTAGTGAACAAACTTATTTCTAACATGAATGAAACACTTTTACAAAAATAGACCCGTTCATTCCTGGTGTTTTCTGTAAAAAAACAACAAGAAGAAATTACAGACTTTCATGTAAATGTTCAATTTGTGTATTGGACACTTACTTAGGATAACTTACAGATTGCTCTGGACGTTGAACGGGGGGCACTCATTGGAACAGGGTGCTTAATATGGTGAATACAGTAGATCAAAATATCAATTGGCGCATTAAAGTTGGCATGCTCAGAACGGGCTTCTGTACACAACACGACTGTACTCCACGCCAAAACTTTCCACAACACAATCAAGCCTAGACCCAATGTTTGTTTGCTTGTTGTTTAACGCAGCACTCAGCAATATTTCAGCGAATCACAGCGGTCTGTAAATAATCAAGTCTGGTGGCATGTAGTGTGGAGGTGCATAGTGTGGTGGAGTGTAGTGTTGAGGAGTATGGTGTGGAGGAGAGGAGTATGGAGGAGTGTAGTGTGGAGGAGTGTAGTGTGGAGGAGGGGAGGAGTGTAGTGTGGAGGAATGTAGTGTGGAGGAGTGTAGTGTGGAGGAATGTAGTGTGGTGGAATCTAGTATGGAGGAGCGTAGTGTGGAGGAGCGTAGTGTGGAGGAGTGAAGTGTGGAGGAGTGTAGTGTGGTGGAGCGAAGTGTGGAGGAGTGTAGTGTGGAGGAGTGTAGTGTGGAGGAGTGTAGTGTGGAGGAGTGTAGTGTGGAGGAGTGTAGTGTGGAGGTGCGTAGTGTGGTGGAGTGTAGTGTTGAGGAGTGTGGTGTGGAGGAGAGGAGTATGGAGGAGTGTAGTGTGGAGGAGGGGAGGAGTGTAGTGTGGAGGAGTGTAGTGTAGTGTGGAGGAGCGTAGTGTGGAGGAGTGTAGTGTGGAGGAATCTAGTATGGAGGAGTGTAGCGTGGAGGAGAGTAGTGTGGAGGAGTGTAGTGTGGAGGAGTGTAGTGTGGAGGTGAGTAGTGTGGAGGAGTGTAGCGTGGAGGAGTGTAGTGTGGAGGAGCGTGGTGTGGAGGAGTGAAGTGTGGAGGAGTGTAGTGTGGTGGAGCGAAGTGTGGAGGAGTGTAGTGTGGAGAAGTGTAGTTTGGAGGAGTGTAGTGTGGAGGAGTGTAGTGTGGTGGAGCGAAGTGTGGAGGAGCGTAGTGTGGAGGTGAGTAGTGTGGAGGAGTGAAGTGTGATGGAGCGTAGTGTGGAGGAGCGTAGTGTGGAGGAGCGTAGTGTGGAGGAGTGTAGTGTGGAGGTGAGTAGTGTGGAGGAGTGTAGTGTGGAGGTGAGTAGTGTGGAGGAGCGTAGTGTGGAGGAATGTAGTGTGGAGGAGTGTAGTGTGGTAGAGGGTAGTGTGGAGGAGTGTAGTGTGGAGGTGAGTAGTGTGGAGGAGTGAAGTGTGGAGGAGTGTAGTGTGGAGGAGCGTAGTGTGGAGGAGAGTGGTTTGGGGGAGTGTAGTGTGGAGGAGTGGGGTGTGGAGGAGCGTAGTGTGGAGGAGTGTAGTGTGGAGGAGCGTAGCGTGGAGGAATGTAGTGTGGAGGAGTGTAGTGTGGAGGAGCGTAGTGTGGAGGAGCGTAGTGTGGAGGAGTGTAGTGTGGTGGAGTGTAGTGTGGAGGAGCGTAGTGTGGAGAAGCGTAGTGTGGAGGAGCATAGTGTGGAGGAGAGTGGTTTGGGGGAGTGTAGTGTGGAGGAGTGCAGTGTGGAGGTGCGTAGTGTGGTGGAGTGTAGTGTTGAGGAGTGTGGTGTGGAGCAGAGGAGTATGGAGGAGTGTAGTGTGGAGGAGTGTAGTGTGGAGGAGGGGAGGAGTGTAGGATGGAGGAGTGTAGTGTGGAGGAATCTAGTATGGAGGAGTGTAGCGTGGAGGAGTGTAGTGTGGAGGAGCGTAGTGTGGAGGAGCGTAGCGTGGAGGAGTGTAGTGTGGAGGTGAGTAGTGTGGAGGAGTGTAGCGTGGAGGAGCGTAATGTGGAGGAGCGTAGTGTGGAGGAGCGTAGTGTGGAGGAGTGTAGTGTGGAGGTGAGTAGTGTGGAGGAGTGTAGTGTGGAGGTGAGTAGTGTGGAGGAGCGTAGTGTGGAGGAATGTAGTGTGGAGGAGTGTAGTGTGGTAGAGGGTAGTGTGGAGGAGTGTAGTGTGGAGGTGAGTAGTGTGGAGGAGTGAAGTGTGGAGGAGTGTAGTGTGGAGGAGCGTAGTGTGGAGGAGAGTGGTTTGGGGGAGTGTAGTGTGGAGGAGTGGGGTGTGGAGGAGCGTAGTGTGGAGGAGTGTAGTGTGGAGGAGTGGAGTGTAGTGTGGAGGAGCGTAGTGTGGAGGAATGTAGTGTGGAGGAGTGTAGTGTGGAGGAGTGTAGTGTGGTGGAGTGTAGTGTGGAGGAGCGTAGTGTGGAGAAGCGTAGTGTGGAGGAGTGTAGTGTGGAGGAGCATAGTGTGGAGGAGAGTGGTTTGGGGGAGTGTAGTGTGGAGGAGTGGGGTGTGGAGGAGCGTAGTGTGGAGGAGTGTAGCGTGGTGGAGCGTAGTGTGGAGGAGTGTAGTGTGGAGGAGCGTAGTGTGGAGAAGTGTAGTGTGGAGGAGTGTAGTGTGGTGGAGAGTAGTGTGGAGGGGAGGAGTGTGGAGGAGTGTAGTGTGGAGGTGAGTAGTGTGGAGGAGCGTAGTGTGGAGGAATGTAGTGTGGAGGAGTGTAGTGTGGTAGAGGGTAGTGTGGAGGAGTGAAGTGTGGAGGAGTGTAGTGTGGAGGAGCGTAGTGTGGAGGAGCGTAGCGTGGAGGAGTGTAGTGTGGAGGTGAGTAGTGTGGAGGAGTGTAGTGTGGAGGTGAGTAGTGTGGAGGAGCGTAGTGTGGAGGAGTGTAGTGTGGAGGAGCATAGTGTGGAGGAGAGTGGTTTGGGGGAGTGTAGTGTGGAGGAGTGTAGTGTGGAGGAGTGTAGTGTGGAGGAGCGTAGTGTGGAGGAGTGTAGTGTGGAGGAGTGTAGTGTGGTGGAGTGTAGTGTGGAGGAGCGTAGTGTGGAGAAGTGTAGTGTGGAGGAGTGTAGTGTGGAGAAGTGTAGTGTGGAGGAGTGTAGTGTGGAGGAGCATAGTGTGGAGGACAGTGGTTTGGGGGAGTGTAGTGTGGAGGAGTGTAGTGTGGAGGAGCGTAGTGTGGAGGAGTGTAGCGTGGTGGAGTGTAGTGTGGAGGAGTGTGGTGTGGAGGAGCGTAGTGTGGAGAAGTGTAGTGTGGAGGAGTGTAGTGTGGAGAAGTGTAGTTTGGAGGAGTGTAGTGTGGTGGAGAGTAGTGTGGAGGGGAGGAGTGTGGTGGAGTGTAGGGTACACAAGCCCATGATGTCAAGCTGGCTGTGTGAATAACACATCCATATTCGTTGTACACAATAATCATAATCGTTTTGTCTTATACAACAAGTGAAGTTAACAGTGAGTTGAGAAAACATGAAAGCCTTGCTTAAAAATGTTAGCATTATATCTGACACATCCTGTTATAGACCCCTGAATTAGAATCTACATGTGGAATGGTTTCTGAAGAGTGAGGTTTGGCCTTGAAGGTCCACTTTTTGCCCTCTCCCTGGAGAGTGAGGTTTTGTGGGGAAGGTCCACTATTTGCCCTCTCCTTGGAGAGTGAGGTTCGGCATTGAAGGTCCACTATTTGCCCTCTCCTTGGAGAGTGAGGTTTGGCATTGAAGGTCCAGTATTTGCACTCTACATGGTTTGGACTGACTGATCTGATCAGCCCAATGTCTGGTTCTATTATCACAATCTAAAACCTTTCTGGAAGATAAAGCACTCTTTACAATTCTGGAATCGACAACTGATTTCCTGAGAGGGCGAGCGACTTTGACCACACGTGGTGTGAATCTGTCTCGAGCGTTTTTTAACTTTCGTTTGGGGATGGACCCGAGTGTGATTCGTCGGACAGGGAACTGGTGGGGTGTCTGAGTGGAGGACTCTGTTGAAGGCAGATGTGGGGAGGAGACTGTGGAATGTGGAAGTCGGGAATGGTGGGCACTTTGAAGAGATCTTGTGGTGTTGGTGTCGTGGAGCTCTGGTTGGAAGCAGCCTTGAGCTTTGGTTGTGCTGTGAAGATCTCTTGGACAAGAGTTCATATTGTTGTCATGGAGATCATCTGGAAAGGCCACTGTAGGGAGATCTTGTGGGATGGCTGAACATTCTGATTGAAACAAAGACACAACCTGTGTGTGAGATTGAGCAGAGAGTTGACTTTGCAAGTGCTGGGACACAGACTGGCGTCCCATTGACCCGTTTGTCTGTGGCACTGCACTTCGGTTGAGATCAGTAAAAGACGGGATATTGTTGTTTCTTGAATTGATGTGTTCAGGATGGTTGGTGCTGGTGACACCTGAAGAACAGGACTGGCTCAGGTTGGACTTGGCAGAGCTGGGGTCATGTGACATACTGACGTGGATGGTGAGGCAGAAGCAGGTGATGGTTCGATCGGATGCACGATGTGGACACGGGGGACAGTCTGGCACGCAGCTGCACAATAAACATGCACGACATCTGCCACACTGGAACCAAGAGCAGCAGGAGAAGGTAGGTCAAATATGAGGTAAAGCAGACATGGAGTACAATCTTGGAACGAAGAAATATAGGTAATTTGTAAAACACATTACTTTATTACTGACTGACTGAGCATGGTTTTACACTGCTGTTAGAATTTAACATTCCAGCAGTATGTACACGTTACGTCTGCGACTGATGACGGCAGGGACACCACATTATACCAATGTGGGGAATCAAATCTGGACTTCCGGCGAAGGCTTAAACCACCAGGCCACCCCACTGTCCGATGAGTTTATTAGAATTTATGACAGAGAACAAGTGATACTAACAAACTGTAAAAATGAAGACAGGCCCAACTCAGGCCCCAAAAAATAAATGTCTTTTCTATTTCAGCTCATCCCAAATCAGGATTTTTCTTGTTTAACTTTTCATCTTCTTTGATAACAGTTGTATGCAGTATGTCTGTTTTCAAATGAAGATAATATCTGGCTTATCTACAGTAAATCACAACACAAATATGGAAGTGGCAGAAGTAACGGACAATAGCGGGGTGGCGATAACAACCATGGTGCAACTGGGGAAAAACAAGAAGAAATGTTTTGGGTCAAGGGCTCCAGACTTTGGTCCGTCAGGAAATCGGATAAACACAGACTTTCATCTTCTCTTTTGTTATTTCAGTGGAACATTTGAGGACAGATAACAGTGTCAAGTGCTTGCTGGATGAAGGTGCTGGAATCTGTACTCCAATGTTGCACTAAAGGAACAAACCAGATATTGTAAATCCACAAGTCTTCCCTGTCTTCATGTAGGACAGAGAGTGGTGTTTATTCTTCCACAGTGTTGATGCTGACGGACAACAGCAAGCTGTATACCCACTGCAGCCAGTGCTGGTGCTGCTCATGCAACATTACATAAAGACATGGAAGGAAACACACTATCATGCCACACCCTCTGCCCCACCCTCCACCACACCCTCTGCCATGCCAACTGCCACACCCTTTGCCACGCCCTCCACCACACCCTCTGCCATGCCAACTGCCACACCCTTTGCCACGCCCTCCACCACACCCTCTGCAATGCCAAATGCCACGCCCTTTGCCACGCCCTCCACCATGCCCTCTGCAGCCCAAGTGCTGGAATCATGTCTGTGAGGCAATGGTTATCAAACACCAGTCAGCACTATTCCAGCCATGTCATGTGGCCTGTAAATAATTGAGTCTGGGCCAGAGAAACAAATGGTTGATATGGCAATGTCCCATGCCCTCAGGATACAATGACATGCTATCAACCTGTCAGTCAACCAAGTCTGAGAGAGTGACCACCCAATCCATTTCTCCCTCTTACAAGCACAGGTTGCTGGGCACCTACTGCGACCCGGAATCAGTGATCAAGGAAAGTGAAGAAGTAAGAAAGTAAGAAATAATTTTAATAAATCAAAGATGCGAGAACCGGATTATCATTAATATTGTATTATTCATGACATGCATATTTTACACATAACGATTGATAAATTTTCATGAAATTGTATTTACAGCTCCAAAATAATTTGGTATTTGAAAACACCAGACTCATTTACTGAAGAGTACCTACAAGGGAGAGAAGTGATGGAAAAGAAAGTCAAAAGAACAGCAGACAGTTTGACATAGGAGATAACCATCGATAACCTTAAATTAAAATCTGTCTCACTCAGCAATCTTCCAGCTACATGTTGGAAGCCTGTATATAATTGAGTCTGGGCCAGATAATCTAGTGACGATATCTGGGCATTGATACATGACACACAATCTACCCAGTCACCAAACCTGTCAACCAGATCTATCAAGTCGCCGCTTACGAACCTGCAATCCTGATGGGCACACGAGTAGAGAGACACCAGGTGTCTTGTACAAAAGGAGTGACACCACGGGACTGGGTGTTATACTTACTGCAAGGGAACGTGTGGACAATATTCAGGGGAGATCACTCAGGGCCCACGTTGTGTTTGGTTGCCGTACTCATAGCAGCTCTGACAACAAGAACAACAGGACTATGTGACAGCCAAGCTATCTCTAAACTCCATACAGGGACAAACACTTAACTAGTGCTGCCACAGGGTTGGCTGACTAGCATAACGACAACATACCTCCACAATATCACGACATTTCAGATGCTTCTCTAGTTTATTACCAATATACTCTTCCAAAAGTGAAACTACCGTATATCGCTGTGTATAGGGCGGGTTTTTCGTACCTAAAATGAAGGGGTTGAGAAGGGGGGTCGTCTTATACACGCAGTCAAAGATCTCACATTTTTTTCCACTGGCGATGTCAACCGGCGTCCGATAGCCAGCCCAGCATTTGACAATAAAACTTCGCATTTCGTCCTAAATAACTATTCCAATAACTATTTCCATACATAAACATGATTTGTATCTCTTTTCCATGAATAAAGTTTAATAATTTCTGCAAATAAAGTTGAAATGACCCACGTCTCGATGCAGATTGTCAAACCAGCTGACATGGTAAAACAATCAACATCCGTGAGTAGAGAGCCGGAAGTACTGGTAAGCATTTGCATATTGCACATGTGACTTAACATGTGATAACCGGTGAAGCTGAAATCAATTCCCGCTGTTTTTACAGTTGTATTAACAACTGTTGGAGACGGTGTGTATAAGTGATTGTGGAATAAACACGCTGAATGTGAAGCAAACATAAGCCTAGTTAGTTACAACATAGTTAATTGGCGATTAAATTACTCACCATTGTCTCTTATATGTGAATTTTATTTTACGGGCAGCAATTTGGTGTCGTACCGTGTAAACACAAAATGGCAACACGTGCTGGAGTTACACATGCGACCAATCATTGTAGAAAAAACAACGCAAGATAAGCATATTTTTTTTGAAAATATAAGGTTTGTGTGCGCACTTGTGATGTGCTTCATTCCAGGTCGCCTTATTCACGGAGTATAGGATTTTGGGTTGATTTTGAAGGCGTGTACAGGGGGGTCGTCTTATACATGGGGTCGCCTTATACACAGCGATATACGGTAAACAGTTTTTTGGTCATTCAAAGATTATTGAATAAACTATCCAAAATGATGGAAACCTGTGCCTAAAACATTACTTAATACACAAACAATACATTCCCAAAATAACATAGACACAACATGTGGACGATACCTTCCTCTTGCAAGTATTCTTGATATGAAACATCTCAAACAAAGAGTACAAGGGACCACACACAAGTAAATTCACAGCACAACATATACATTCTGTTGGGTTTTAGATGAAATACGACTTTGAAGACATTAGTCAAATTTTGGAAAATCCTGCTATGGTTAATGTGTGCTGTGAGTGGGTACCTTCACCGGTGATGATGCATTGTAAGAGGAAGTGAGGCATTCCCTGGGATAGCATCCCAACAACTAGCAGCACATCAATACATTCATCTTATCACATAAGATTCAGATCTTTAACAATATGATACCTCTCTCAGTGAAGATCCAACAACCCCACTATAAAAGGATGAGCTTGTGTGGGGATCTTTGACACCCAATATAAATGAAGGATGGATGGGTTCTTGAGTCAAACAGATAACAGCATTTTAAAATGGCTTCATGCCTTACTTGGCAACTTCAATATTCACAAAAGAAAAACACAAAACATAAAGATCCCTATTGCATGTAGATGCCATGGTGCTCGAAACGATAGGGTGTATAAATATCCTCAACATTATAATTGTTGCGGACTTTATTATTTACATTCAGAACTGACCTCTGAAGTTCTTTTTCGAAAGAAAGAATTCAGATATGCTGGTCTGAATGCTCTGCTCACTTTTGAGAGTTTAGAAGCCTAACGCTGATTTGAAACATCACCTGGAATGACGTCCGATGCTGTCGGATCTTCATAAATAAAGGTACCATACAGGAATACAAGATCTGATCTTAATGACACAATGCAGCATGTCTTGTGTAACCACAATTCATCATCATAAACACAGCGCTGCAGACAAATATTTTCTCAGCTGGAATATGAAATAAATTCACAACTTTTTATCACATTCTAAACTGCTTCATAGCAAGTGTTTTATTCCTTTTTTTTGTGAAATATGTGATGTATTCCAGCTGCTGACTTTTCTCTACAGCGCTGACAGGTGCCTGCTCTGTGACAGAAACACAGTACCCATCACAAGGACATTGACGCCTCTCCCAGGATGACACTCTCAACACAATACATCAAAAACACTTCATTGTGTTATCATACAACAAAAATTATCATCAGTCTTGTAAAACATGTTTGAGTCATATTGTCGTATTCTGATCCCGTGTACTCAATCATTATTGTTGTCCATACTTACTGCACACAAACCCTCAGCACCTTGGGATCCACAGCACTGGCAGAGTAGAAGCTCAATACACCCCATCCTCTGTAACACACATATAGAAGGAGGTGAGACACAGCTCAATACACCCCATCCTCTGTAACACACATATAGGAGGAGGTGAGACACAGCTCAATACACCCCATCCTCTGTAACACACATATAGGAGGTGAGACACAGCTCAATACACCCCATCCTCTGTAACACACATATAGGAGGAGGTGAGACACAGCTCAATACACCCCATCCTCTGTAACACACATATAGGAGGTGAGACACAGCTCAATACACCCCATCCACTGTAACACACATATAGGAGGTAAGAGACAGCTCAATACACCCCATCCTCTGTAACACACATATAGGAGGTAAGAGACAGCTCAATACACCCCATCCTCTGTAACACACATATAGGAGGTGAGGCACAGCTCAATACACCCCATCCTCTGTAACACACATATAGGAGGAGGTGAGACACAGCTCAATACACCCCATCCTCTGTAACACACATATAGAAGGAGGTGAGACACAGCTCAATACACCCCATCCTCTGTAACACACATATAGGAGGTGAGACACAGCTCAATACACCCCATCCTCTGTAACACACATATAGGAGGAGGTGAGACACAGCTCAATACACCCCATCCTCTGTAACACACATATAGGAGGTGAGACACAGCTCAATACACCCCATCCTCTGTAACACACATACAGAAGGAGGTGAGGCACAGCTCAATACACCCCATCCTCTGTAACACACATATAGAAGGAGGTGAGGCACAGCTCAATACACCCCATCCTCTGTAACACGCATATAGAAGGAGGTGAGGCACAGCTCAATACACCCCATCCTCTGTAACACACATATAGAAGGAGGTGAGACACAGCTCAATACACCCCATCCTCTGTAACACACATATAGGAGGTGAGGCACAGCTCAATACACCCCATCCTCTGTAACACACATATAGAAGGAGGTGAGGCACAGCTCAATACACCCCATCCTCTGTAACACACATATAGGAGGTGAGGCACAGCTCAATACACCCCATCCTCTGTAACACACATATAGGAGGAGGTGAGACACAGCTCAATACACCCCATCCTCTGTAACACACATATAGGAGGTGAGACACAGCTCAATACACCCCATCCTCTGTAACACACATATAGAAGGAGGTGAGGCACAGCTCAATACACCCCATCCTCTGTAACACACATATAGAAGGAGGTGAGGCACAGCTCAATACACCCCATCCTCTGTAACACACATATAGAAGGGGGTGAGGCACAGCTCAATACACCCCATCCTCTGGAACACACATCTAGGAGGAGGTGAGTAACAGCTCAATACACCCCATCGTCTGTAACACACATATAGAAGGAGGTGAGACACAGCTCAATACACCCCATCCTCTGTAACACACATATAGGAGGTGAGGCACAGCTCAATACACCCCATCCTCTGTAACACACATATAGAAGGAGGTGAGACACAGCTCAATACACCCCATCCTCTGTAACACACATATAGAAGGAGGTAAGAGACAGCTCAATACACCCCATCCTCTGTAACACACATATAGGAGGTGAGACACAGCTCAATACACCCCATCCTCTGTAACACACATATAGAAGGAGGTGAGACACAGCTCAATACACCCCATCCTCTGTAACACACATATAGGAGGTGAGGCACAGCTCAATACACCCCATCCTCTGTAACACACATATAGGAGGTGAGACACAGCTCAATACACCCCATCCTCTGTAACACACATATAGGAGGTGAGACACAGCTCAATACACCCCATCCTCTGTAACACACATATAGGAGGTGAGGCACAGCTCAATACACCCCATCCTCTGTAACACACATATAGGAGGTGAGACACAGCTCAATACACCCCATCCTCTGTAACACACATATAGAAGGAGGTGAGACACAGCTCAATACACCCCATCCTCTGTAACACACATATAGGAGGTGAGACACAGCTCAATACACCCCATCCTCTGTAACACACATATAGGAGGTGAGGCACAGCTCAATACACCCCATCCTCTGTAACACACATATAGGAGGTGAGACACAGCTCAATACACCCCATCCTCTGTAACACACATATAGAAGGAGGTGAGACACAGCTCAATACACCCCATCCTCTGTAACACACATATAGAAGGAGGTGAGACACAGCTCAATACACCCCATCCTCTGTAACACACATATAGGAGGTGAGGCACAGCTCAATACACCCCATCCTCTGTAACACACATATAGAAGGAGGTGAGGCACAGCTCAATACACCCCATCCTCTGTAACACACATATAGGAGGACGTGAGACACAGCTCAATACACCCCATCCTCTGTAACACACATATAGGAGGTGAGACACAGCTCAATACACCCCATCCTCTGTAACACACATATAGGAGGAGGTGAGACACAGCTCAATACACCCCATCCTCTGTAACACACATATAGGAGGTGAGACACAGCTCAATACACCCCATCCTCTGTAACACACATATAGGAGGTGAGACACAGCTCAATACACCCCATCCTCTGTAACACACATATAGGAGGTGAGGCACAGCTCAATACACCCCATCCTCTGTAACACACATATAGGAGGAGGTGAGACACAGCTCAATACACCCCATCCTCTGTAACACACATATAGGAGGACGTGAGACACAGCTCAATACACCCCATCCTCTGTAACACACATATAGGAGGTGAGGCACAGCTCAATACACCCCATCCTCTGTAACACACATATAGAAGGAGGTGAGGCACAGCTCAATACACCCCATCCTCTGTAACACACATATAGGAGGACGTGAGACACAGCTCAATACACCCCATCCTCTGTAACACACATATAGGAGGTGAGGCACAGCTCAATACACCCCATCCTCTGTAACACACATATAGAAGGAAGTGAGGCACAGCTCAATACACCCCATCCTCTGTAACACACATATAGGAGGACGTGAGACACAGCTCAATACACCCCATCCTCTGTAACACACATATAGGAGGTGAGACACAGCTCAATACACCCCATCCTCTGTAACACACATATAGGAGGAGGTGAGACACAGCTCAATACACCCCATCCTCTGTAACACACATATAGGAGGTGAGGCACAGCTCAATACACCCCATCCTCTGTAACACACATATAGGAGGTGAGGCACAGCTCAATACACCCCATCCTCTGTAACACACATATAGGAGGAGGTGAGACACAGCTCAATACACCCCATCCTCTGTAACACACATATAGGAGGTAAGAGACAGCTCAATACACCCCATCCACTGTAACACACATATAGAAGGAGGTGAGACACAGCTCAATACACCCCATCCTCTGTAACACACATATAGGAGGTGAGACACAGCTCAATACACCCCATCCTCTGTAACACACATATAGGAGGTGAGACACAGCTCAATACACCCCATCCTCTGTAACACACATATAGGAGGAGGTGAGACACAGCTCAATACACCCCATCCTCTGTAACACACATATAGGAGGTGAGGCACAGCTCAATACACCCCATCCTCTGTAACACACATATAGGAGGACGTGAGACACAGCTCAATACACCCCATCCTCTGTAACACACATATAGGAGGTGAGACACAGCTCAATACACCCCATCCTCTGTAACACACATATAGAAGGAGGTGAGGCACAGCTCAATACACCCCATCGTCTGTAACACACATATAGAAGGAGGTGAGACACAGCTCAATACACCCCATCCTCTGTAACACACATATAGGAGGTGAGGCACAGCTCAATACACCCCATCCTCTGTAACACACATATAGAAGGAGGTGAGACACAGCTCAATACACCCCATCCTCTGTAACACACATATAGGAGGTGAGACACAGCTCAATACACCCCATCCTCTGTAACACACATATAGGAGATGAGACACAGCTCAATACACCCCATCCTCTGTAACACACATATAGGAGGTGAGACACAGCTCAATACACCCCATCCTCTGTAACACACATATAGAAGGAGGTGAGACACAGCTCAATACACCCCATCCTCTGTAACACACATATAGGAGGAGGTGAGACACAGCTCAATACACCCCATCCTCTGTAACACACATATAGGAGGTGAGGCACAGCTCAATACACCCCATCCTCTGTAACACACATATAGGAGGAGGTGAGACACAGCTCAATACACCCCATCCTCTGTAACACACATATAGGAGGTGAGGCACAGCTCAATACACCCCATCCTCTGTAACACACATATAGAAGGAGGTGAGACACAGCTCAATACACCCCATCCTCTGTAACACACATATAGGAGGTGAGGCACAGCTCAATACACCCCATCCTCTGTAACACACATATAGGAGGAGGTGAGACACAGCTCAATACACCCCATCCTCTGTAACACACATATAGGAGGTGAGACACAGCTCAATACACCCCATCCTCTGTAACACACATATAGGAGGTGAGGCACAGCTCAATACACCCCATCCTCTGTAACACACATATAGGAGGAGAGGCACAGCTCAATACACCCCATCCTCTGTAACACACATATAGGAGGTAAGAGACAGCTCAATACACCCCATCCTCTGTAACACACATCTAGGAGGAGGTGAGTAACAGCTCAATACACCCCATCGTCTGCGAAACATTCCCATATATCTAATAATTATTGTATATGTGTCAAATATATCAATACCCCCCACTCTTGTCACATTATAGTTGTCACTGTGGAGGCGTGACCATAGTGGATGCAAGGATCACTGGACCATGGAATGGGACGTGATGATGAAAGTGTTACCATGGTTACTATACATTAGCCAGTAGGTTTGTATATAATAACATACAAATTAGGAGATATCAACAGTGGTAATAGAACAGTGAACAGAACACAAAACTGAAAAAAATCATGTTTTTGTAACTTGTGCTTTCAAACAAAATCTCTTCTTCATATGTGCATGTGTACACAGTGCATTCGTGTCATGTGTACACAGTGCATTCGTGTCATGTGTACAAGGTGCATTTGTGTCATGTGTACATGGTGCATTCGTGGGTATCCATTATAAAGTTCACTATTACATGCTACTTGACAACCTGACTGCATTGTTGCAACCATCAACCTTCTTCGCAACTTCTACAACTATGACAACTGGAGGTGTGTTCGTACGACCTTATTGTCTAAATTGGACATTTACTGTACTGCTTCTGAACAATCGGATATATCCAAGTGAGCTCTACTGCTTCTGAACAATCAGATTTATCCAAAGTGAGCTCTACTGCTTCTGAACAATCAGATTTATCCAAAGTGAGCTCTACTGCTTCTGAACAATCAGATTTATCCAAAGTGAGCTCTACTGCTTCTGAACAATCAGATTTATCCAAAGTGAGCTCTACTGCTTCTGAACAATCAGATTTATCCAAAGTGAGCTCTACTGCTTCTGAAGAATCAGATTTATCCAAAGTGAGCTCTACTGCTTCTGAACAATCAGATTTATCCAAAGTGAGCTCTACTGCTTCTGAACAATCAGATTTATCCAAAGTGAGCTCTACTGCTTCTGAACAATCAGATTTATCCAAAGTGAGCTCTACTGCTTCTGAACAATCAGATTTATCCAAAGTGAGCTCTACTGCTTCTGAACAATCAGATTTATCCAAAGTGAGCTCTACTGCTTCTGAACAATCAGATTTATCCAAAGTGAGCTCTACTGCTTCTGAAGAATCAGATTTATCCAAAGTGAGCTCTACTGCTTCTGAACAATCAGATTTATACCATGTGAGCTCTACTTTTTCTGAAGAATCAGATCTATCCAAAGTGAGCTCTACTGCTTCTGAACAATCAGATTTATACCATGTGAGCTCTACTTTTTCTGAAGAATCAGATTTATCCAAAGTGAGCTCTACTGCTTCTGAACAATCAGATTTATCCAAAGTGAGCTCTACTGCTTCTGAACAATCAGATTTATCCAAAGTGAGCTCTACTGCTTCTGAACAATCAGATTTATCCAAAGTGAGCTCTACTGCTTCTGAACAATCAGATTTATCCAAAGTGAGCTCTACTGCTTCTGAACAATCAGATTTATCCAAAGTGAGCTCTACTGCTTCTGAACAATCAGATTTATACCATGTGAGCTCTACTTTTTCTGAAGAATCAGATCTATCCAAAGTGAGCTCTACTGCTTCTGAACAATCAGATTTATACCATGTGAGCTCTACTTTTTCTGAAGAATCAGATTTATCCAAAGTGAGCTCTACTGCTTCTGAAGAATCAGATTTATCCAAAGTGAGCTCTACTGCTTCTGAACAATCAGATCTATCCAAAGTGAGCTCTACTGCTTCTGAAGAATCAGATTTATCCAAAGTGAGCTCTACTGCTTCTGAACAATCAGATTTATCCAAAGTGAGCTCCCATGTAAGGATCAGTTCATCATGACAGCACATGATGACCAACAAACGCTGTTTGGTATCGCAGTACAAACTTGTACACCACATTGTTCCACAGTGAGGAGGAGATGTTGTGATTCAGAGTAAAACTTGAATAGTTGGAAGGTCAGACACTATGTTAAAAAAGACCCATAATTCTGACAAATTTCAAAATAGCAAATGGCAGCAGTTAAAGTAATGACCAATTTGAATATGTGCAGTTTCGTAGAAAAATGTTAAAAGGTTTTCAACTTATGGCTCAGAAATGAACCCTACCTTCTTTTGAGACAAAGTCAAAATTGTTTCCATGGAAACATAAAAAATGCAATTTTGACAAATTTCAAAATAGCAAAAGCCACCAGTTTAGTTAATGACCAATATGCATATGTGCAGTTTCATTGAAAAATTCATGCAAATACATCCCTTCTCTGATTCTGTATACGAGTTGTAAGTCATTGAAAGTTTTTCACCTAGAATCTGGATGTAAGTTTTAGAACTGTTTCAACAATTTTCTATGTAATTTACACTTGTACTTTCACCTGAAAGTTCACCTCACAATCAGCTTCATGTAATGATTCGTTTCATACATTGCTTAAGTTCTATCAACAATTTTTCCAACTACCGCAGTTTTTTTCAGAATCACAACACCTGAAAGTGTGGCCTTCCCAGAAGAGCCAAATGAACACAACATATACAACATGCACACCACGCGACATGTGCCCTCTGTGTTATACCTGACAGCAAGCCTGGGCGTCCTGCAACAGAGGGGGCGATTAGCAGCATGTACAACATGGATAAATCTACCATTCAACACCAAGTGCCCTTGACAGGCAAATCGGGAATTAGTGTTCTTTTCAAAACTGTAGTACCTGTATGAATATTACCTGTATGTATAACCTGTATGTATTACTTTTTGGTTTTGGTTTGTTGTTTTACGCCGCACTCAGCAATATTCCAGCTATATGACGGCAGTCTGTAAATAATCAAGTCTGGACCAGACAATCCAGTGATTTACATCATGAATATCGATCCACGCAGTTGGGATCGATGACATGCTTCAACCAAGTCAGCGAGTCTGACCACCCGATCCCGTTAGTCGTGTGTATTAGCTGTATGTATTAGTGAGTGAGTTGGGGTTTTAACAGTATTCCAGCTATTTCACGGCGTGTCAGCTTAATGTGGGAGAAGAAATCGGTGAAACCCACGAGCATGGGTATGGTGCTGACAAACCTAGAAACCTAATGGGAGTGAACTGGAATTCAAACCCACAATCATAGGTCTCTGGCGTGCCCAAGGGACGCAACTCTGCACAGCGACTGAGCCACCTGTGCCCCCCCTGTATGTATTACCTGTATGAATATTATCTGTATGTATAACCTGTATGTATTACTGGAATTATAACCTGTATGTATATCCTGTATGTATTACGGAATGTATAACCTGTATGTATTACCTGAATATATAACCTGAATGTATTAACGGAATGTATTACCTGTATGTATTAACGGAATGTATAACCTGTATGTATTACCTGAATGTATAACCTGTATGTATTACCTGAATATATAACCTGTATGCATTAAAGGAATGTATAACCTGTATGTATTACCTGTATGTATTACCAGAATATATAACCTGAATGTATTAACGGAATGTATAACCTGTATGTATTACCTGTATGTATTACCGGAATATATAACCTGTATGTATTACCGGAATGTATAACCTGTATGTATTACCTGTATGTATTACCTGTATGTATTACCGGAATATATAACCTGAATGTATTAACGGCATGTATTACCTGTATGTATTACCGGAATATATAACCTGAATGTATTAACGGAATGTATAACCTGTATGTATTAAAGGAATGTATAACCTATTTGTATTACCTGTATGTATTACCGGAATATATAACCTGTATGTACTAAAGGAATGTATAACCTGTATGTATTACCTGTATGTATTAAAGGAATGTATAACCTGTATGTATAACCTGTATGTATTACCGGAATATATAACCTGTATGTATTAACGGAAAGTATAACCTGTGTGTATTACCTGTATGTATAACCTGTATGTATTACTATAGCCTATGATAAAAGACTGAAATTCACCCACTCAGAGCTGGTCTATAATAACGTAAGTGACCATAGATTCATAGACTGTGGACATGACACACTGCTGGAATGACTGTCAGCATGCACAAGGAGGTTACGATTTCATTCTGTTTCACCATCTGCACCAGGTGCAACCGAATATATTAATCAGGTTGCACCACCAAAATATTGGCTGCACCAGTTTATTTGATAATTGAAACGCTGTATTTTCAGTTATTTTGAATATTAAATAAATTCAAAAAGAAAATAAACTTGAGAATGTGTTCCAGTATTTTACTTGGAGTAAATGTGTATATGGCTTCTCACATAATGATACCCAGTAAACAACCTTAAAAAGAAGTTTCAGAGTGTCTGACTGATGTGATTGTAACCGCATGAGTGACTGTTCCATTGGCAATTGTGAAGAATTAGTTCTGCAAGTTCAGTGCATTCAGACCACCTGTGTATTTCACTAATTTCTTAGTATTTTTTTTGTTTCCCCAAAGATTTGCAGCCAGTTCTACAAGAATTCACTTTTCAATTTCTATCAAATATAACTTCTGACGGGCACTTGTGGTGGGACATTTTACCTGCACTGGGAGCAACCCATCTTCCCGAGGCAACAGCGTCCACTACCCTTATTATCGAAGTCTTGTTTCTACCCTTGCCACATCAAGACCCACTTTCCTGTGCTAAATATGATTGGACTATCTCACATACCGATAGTCCAATCAGAGAACGTTTCCCAAAATCAACATCCATGACTGGTACACCTGCGTATGAAAGTGAATTACCGCTGCCAGTCTTCGTTGAGATGATTGCCTATGTTTGTGTGTCAGGGATGAAATCTCAAATGTTGTCGTTATCTGTAGCTCGCAATCGCAATCTCTGTGAAGATATACAAGATAAGAACAGCAATCTAATTGGATATCGCGTTTTCATTACAAGGGGCACAACTCTACCCGAGGTGGCGCCAGGGTCGAGCTAAGGAAAGTGGCCGTGATGTGGCAAGGGTAGAAACTAGGCTAGGAAGATGGGCGCAACCTTGCAATAAAAATTACCTGCAACAGCAATGTTTTACCTGCACCGGTACAGCGTGGATATAGTGAAATCGGTCCCTGACAAGTAACCTGACGGTAACACACCACTGTGGCAGTGGAGGCAGTTGTCAGTGTATTTGTAGTGATCATCAGTGGCAGCATGATGGGAGCGCCTGTACAATGTCAAATGTTGTTGTGGCTAGATTTTAATCAGTGGCGAGTGAGTGTAATTTAGAGTTAATGCCTCCGGTTGTCTGTTTGAGATGTTTGTGGATGGGACAGTAGACTAACATCTAGTCTCTGAAATGAACATACCATACAGAAAAAAACAGTTGTTCAATTATCTTAAAAAAATAATATAAAAAGGAGCCAAGAGACTCTCTGATACTGCAGTAATCTAGACTTGCCAAACTTTATAGACTTGCATGGGCTGTATTTCATATATTTGTATCAGGGTCTGCAAGACAGACTAGATGGGACAGTTACCAGAAGGCTGGATGTCAGTATTGAAGAGCGACTTAGAATCAAGGTCTTTTTTCGACCTGCATTGTGTCTATCTACATGCCCAGTGTGGAGTGGATACCTATTTGAAAATACTGAGTTACTAACAGCTTCCAACACTATTCAGGATTCAAGAACAGAGCCAGGCTATTTCAAGACATTCGACAGTGACAAAATGCTGGAAGTTTGTGAGTGCACCAGCACAGTGTAGGGCATGAAACTTATTGCTGCCACCACACATTTCACCCACTGGAATACCTGCTTGGATTGAAAAAACTAAAACTGTGTTTGAACTTTATAATGCTTAACCTCTATGTTTCAATTTGGAAATCCCCTTGTGACAATACCTACCTTTCTGTTGGGGCAGATGGAGTCAAGACATGACGTCACGGTGGGACTCTTGCAACAGTTACAACATTCTGCCAACTCGGCACAACAAGCACAGCTTTGTGCATCCTCGTCAGACTTGGCGCACCATGACCCACACTCACATATACCCCGAGACTGAAACAACCACATACATGCATGTTATCTTGATGGATCTCTGATACAGACAACAGCTCCTGGATCACTGATACATAAAACAGCTCCTGGATCACTGATACATAAAACAGCTCCTGGATCACTGATACATAACACAGCTCCTGGATCACTGATACATAACACAGCTCCAGGATCACTGATATATATAATATGCTCCTGGGTCTCTGATATATACCACAGCTCCTGGATCACTGATATATAAGACAGCTCCTGGATCACTGATATATACCACAGCTCCTGGATCACTTATATATAACACAGCTCCAGCATTACTGATATATTACATAGCTACAGAATCACTGGTTTATAACATAGGTACAGGATCACTGATATATAACATAGGTACAGGATCACTGATATATAACACAGGTACAGGATCACTGATATATAACACAGCTGCAGCATCACTGATATATAACGCAGCTCCAGGGTCACTGGTATATAACACAGCTCCAGGACCACTTATATATAACATAGCTCCAGGATCACTGATATATAACACAGCTGCAGCATCACTGATATATAACAGCTGCTGCATCACTGATATATAACATAGCTACAGGATCACTGATATATAACACAGCTGCAGCATCACTGATATATAACATAGCTACAGGATCACTGATATATAACACAGCTGCAGCCTCACTGATATATAACATAGCTCCAGGACCACTGGTATATAACATAGGTACAGGATCACTGACATATAACATAGCTACAGGATCACTGATATATAACATAGCTACAGGATCACTGATATATAACATAGCTCCAGGATCACTGATATATAACACAGCTCCAGCATTACTGATATATAACATAGCTACAGGATCACTGATATATAACATAGCTACAGGATCACTGATATATAACACAGCTGCAGCATCACTGATATATAGCACAGCTGCAGCATCACGGATATATAACACAGCTGCAGGATCACTGATATATAACATAGGTACAGGATCACTGATATATAACATAGCTACAGGATCACTGATATATAACATAGCTACAGGATCAGTGATATTTTTAACACAGCTGCAGCCTCACTGATATATAACATAGCTCCAGGACCACTGGTATATAACATAGCTACAGGATCACTGATATATAACATAGCTACAGGATCACTGATATATAACACAGCTGCAGCATCACTGATATATAACACAGCTCCAGGACCACTGATATATAACAGCTACAGGATCACTGATATATAACATAGCTGCAGCATCACTTATATATAACACAAGTATTGACTCCCATCATTATTCACACTGGGTATTAATCATGCTGGCAGTTTTCTTTGGGTATTCAAAATATTTTTAGTAAGTCTCTTGGGTATGGTCTATTAGGTTTATTTAAACCAAGGAGTAAACATTTTCAAAAATAATTCTACATAAAATGTTGTTTCAAGATACTTGTAATAATTACAAATTCCCAGGGTTCGTGGCTCCAAACTATACACGGCTGGTATATCCATGATAGGGCATACTACCTGGACAAGGACACCTTCATTTCAAATAAACACCACTTCCTTTCTCTGCTATTTCCGACTTGATGATGTACATTACTCCACATTTGATAAGGATATGTTTCCATGATGCACAAAAACGTCTCTCAACATTTTTCAAGTGTATACTTATCATTCCCATCAGTGGTTGAGAATTATATTATACATCAGTCTTGCAGTCAAAGATTTTTTAACTACTGCTGTAAACATATTGTTTCTCGCATGTCACTTACGGAAACATCTAGACCGAGATTGGAAAGGAGATCTTGGAGCACAGTCCAAATTCGACTCACCACAAGGAAGTATCTGACCAGGATGATGATGACGATCAGCATCACATAACCCCCGACTGCCAGGCACACGATGGCCGCCACAGGGAGGGCCAGCTCACTCTCACCACCCGTTGCAGGGTTTGAGCCCGACTGAAACAAACCATCACGTGACCACTGCACTACACGTCTTACAATAGTGCATGGAGCAAGGCAGAAACATGTAACAATCTCATTGTTATTACTGAAGACCAAACATAACCTGACAAAGTAGACAGTCAAGCAAGACAGTCCTGCTTGACAACAGTATAACAAACTACACTGAAACATCACTATAATTGTATATAAAGTTGTTACAAATAAATTGGGTCTACTTTGTCATCCATCAACTTCTAAGAAATGGTGATCAACAATTCAGATACAACCTCTTGTCATACATCTGTGTCAGAATGAATCCACAAAAATATCACGATATGTAAACCATTATTAAATTTTCTTTAACATTTAAATCATCATGTCAGTGAGTGAGTATGGTTTTACGCCGCTTTTAGCAATATTCAAGCAATATCACGGCGGGGGACACCTGCAATGGGCTTTACACATTGTACCCATGTTGGGAATCGAACCTGGGTCTTCAGCATGACGAGCGAACGCTTTAACCACTAGGCTACCCGACCGCCTAAATCATCATGTTGTCATGGTAGGTGAAGCAGACAATTTCTTTTTTTTTAACATTCTGAAGCATAATTATTTTTTTCATTATTTTTGTTATATTTGTTTTATTTACTGACTTTACTGCATTATTTAACTCCAGGATGTCTGATAAGACATCTGGGACATTCACGGACGTTACATAGCAGGAATCTATTAAATGATGGGTCCCTTATAAGTATCTCCCTCACATTGGACATGCTGATCCTGCATACAAAACATGTGGTGACTCAGTGCGGTGCCGGCATCTCGCGGGAACAGTTGTGTTAGAGCTGTAACTTATCTGTATCGTCCAGCCATCGCTAGTTCTGTGACAGACTATTGGTGTTGGAGAAACATGGCCGCAGCTGCTTGTATCTTGGATGACACCTGTCACATAAAAGTGATGAGTTTGTTAAGATTAGCAATAACATGAACATGTACAGTGGATGTTTTGAAATTGAAAGTGATAACTTTTACATGTTACATGCTGTAGGTATTTGAGAACGTTTCATTCTGTGCCAAAAACCTTTACAGCGGTAGAAACTAACAGTTCCAGTCCACTAGTCCTTATAATGATAACATATAGCAAAACCTTTAAAAATGTCTAATACAGTGTATCTACTAGTCCTTAGAATACCTTTACTATTTGGCAGTTTGGCAAGGACTATAGGACTAGTGCTGATTTCTAACCCTGCTTTACAGTCCACTAGCCTGAACTTGACTCTAGGCAACATTTTTATTTGCGGCGTTATTAACTGAGCTTACTAGACCAAGCAATTTGACCACAAAAAAAATATCGAAAATAAAATGCTTTCATAAACTGGCGCTTGCTATAAAATGAGGCGCTGCAGCATATTTTTAGTGAATAAATATTGAAAACTCTCAACATTGCTGAGCTTATTCAATGACATTGTGTGAAGAGATGACAGATCACTGAGCTTTTGTACATGCGATGACTCCTGATGTCACAGTGCATTGTTTTGCCGGTGTATCTGGCAACAAAATATCACAAATTACATCAGAGGGTATTATGACGTGTGTGAAAAGTATTAGTACTGTATTCTAAAGGTAGGACGGCACGACTAGGTAAATTTTCACTATCCAAAGGTCGAGAGTTTGTATCCGATGGATTCTCACAATAACTGGTTGCTTGTCTAAATAATGACATGTGACCAATGGCAGATATTGTCCTAATGAGAGGTTGTGCTGTATTCTACTGGTGCTCCAAAATGAGATGAAATGGGCAGATCTGAATAAACATAACACGATAAAAGCAGCACCGTTATATTGATGTGGAGATTTTACACACTGTCGTTTCTCAGCGCCATGACATCTAATAGTCGCCGCTCCGTGAAGATCCAGGGTAGAATAGGTCTTCAGCAACCAATGCTTGCCGTAAAAGGCAACAATGCTTGTCGTAAAAGGCGACTAACGGGATCGGGTGGTCAGACTCGCTGACTTGGTTGATGCATGTCATTAATCCCAATTGCGATCGATGCTCATGATATTAATCACTGGATTGTGTGGTCCAGACTCGATTATTTACAGACCGCCGTCATATTGCTGGAATATTGCCGAGTGCGGCATTAAACAACAAACCAAACAAACAATAGTCGTCTTCACACTGAAAGGAGTACCATCAAAGGAAAATGTGTGTTCTCTGCATGTTTCCTTCTGTTGAAATCATAATTTTCAAATCAAGGAAATAATCTGTCGTTTTACTTTTAGTAATATGACTTCTGATTGACATGCATTGATTCATTTGATTGCGCTGTCAAAGTTCACATAGGGTACACCTAATGCGATTTTCTTTGGAAGGGTTGTTAGGTCTTCGTGTAGATAACGTATGGAGTAAAAGATCGGATATTAATATGAATAACAAAATTACGGCAAATTCGATTTCTGAGACTCGCGAAGACATTGTTCAGGGTGTATTCCATTATTCCAGCAATGCATGCAAGACTTCAAGATGCAGTGTGGACATGTTCTGGTGACACCGGCAGTGATAAGTCAGATTCACAGTAACTGACATTACTCAGTTGACAGTAGCAGTTCGCGAACGCTTTCTTCATGCGTTGTTTTGAATTTGTAACAAAGAAAATCGAAAAATTGTAGCGCCCTGGAAACAAGACAGAATTTTAGACATACATAATACATCCCCTTACATCGGCGTGATGTTTTAATCAACAGCTTACCACAATTTCTTTCTCGAATTCGTGTCGGCACACGCAAATATTCACCATTAGCGCTTCTCCCAGCAAATATGTGTCACGTGACATTGTTTATGCCGTACGTGATTCTAATGTCGTGCATCATTTGCGACATATGACAACTGAGTTAAAGCCACCAGCTGTTAAATTGTGTCTTATTACTAGATATTACAGTTACCATACCATGTAAATTTAATGATAATATCAAATAAATGTATGTCTTTGGTCTAATGGCAGTGTAGCCTTGACACCTTGGATAGGTAATGACATATGGGCTGTCATTTTTCGTTAGTATTTATTACAAGTTTTAGAGTTAAAACATCAAACAGTTGACTAAACTAATACAAACAAATTAGTTTATGAACTGACTGTATTGAACCGCAAACATTAATATCTATATAGAAAAGGAGCGAGCGAGTATGGTTTTACACCGCTTTTAGCAATATTCCAGCAATATCACGGCGCAGGACACCAGAGTGAGTGAGTAAGTGAGTATGGTTTTACGCCGCTTTTAGCAATATTCCAGCAATATCACGGCCGGGGAAACCAGAAATGGGCTTCACACATTGTACCCATGAGAGGAATCGAACCCGGGGCTTCGCCTTGACGCGCGAATTCTATAGCCACTAGGCTACCCTTTAGCCCTTAGAAAGGGCCGCCCTTATCAGACGGTTGGACGTATATTTGTAAATATGTATATATAACGCCCTGTAATTATTTTGGCGTACTATTTACCAGAGGACTAAATTAGTAGTATGTATAAAAAGAGTCAGGCAATGCCTTCGTTTCAATTCACAAAGGCCTACAAGGTATCGAAATTATTTCTTATGATGTATATTTGAAAACATTTGATTCAAAATAATAAGACCTTGATGAAAATGCAAGCAAATCACGAAACAAAACAAAAAATGGGCCAGACTTATAAAAGTATAAAATGATCTCTTGCCTGAGGAAAGAATTGAGAATAAATTAATGTTACGAAGGGCGTTCAATAAGTTTTGCAACTTCAATATAAGACCAAGTCGCAGAATATCTTTTGCACTTTTAATTTTCAGTATAATCTCCCTTCACCTCAATACACTTTTTCCATTTGTCCTTCAAGCTTTTAATACCACTTTTATAGAAATCCGCAGATTGGCCCTCTAACCACGACTCTGTGGCACCTTTATGTCCTCGTCATCCTGGAAGCGTCTTCCACGTAGGGCAGATTTCATTTGCCGGAACAGGAAATAGTCACTGGTGGCTAAGTCTGGGCTGTAGGGTGGGTGATTTAACTGTTCGAATCCACATTCACATATGGTGGCCTGTGCAATTCTCGACTAGTGAACCGGAGCGTTGTCATGCAAAAGTAGAATGCCACGTGTTAACATCCCACGGCGTTTCTGGCGAATAGATTTTCGCAATTCCTTCATTACATTAGCATAATACTGTCCATTGATTGTAGTTTTTGGTGGCAAGTAATCAATCAGTAATTTGCCTCTTGCATCCCAAAATATGGTGTCATTACCTTGCCAACCAATGGTTGAGTGCGAAACTTCCTCGGAGACGGAGAATTAGGGTGCTTCCATTGCATGGATTCCAATGTAGTTTCTGGGTCCCAGCTGTGGATCCATGTTTCATCACCTGTCACTAGAAATCCGGGTTCAAAAGAAATCCGGCTTCATCAGTACAGATATCCAGGAGGTCTCGACAACTTTCAGTTCTCTGATTGCGATCTTGAGCTCTGAGGTTTCTAGGTACCCATCTTGCAGATACCATGGTCATTCCAAGATGCTCATGAATAATGGTTACAACAGTTCCAACATATATTTGGAATTCCCTAGAAAGTTCAGATACTTCCACTCGTCGGTCAGACAAAGTTCTTCTTTCTAAAGCAGCAATGGTTTTTGGTGGGTGGCTTCTGAAGGCCTGCCTGACCTTGGGTCATCGTCTATGGACTCCCTACCCCTTTTAAACTGTAGAGACCAACGTCAAACTGTGGAACAGTCAGGAGCATCACTTTACATATGCGATCATGGATTTCTTTTGCTTTGCATCCCTTCTTGGTAAGGAACTTTATTACAGCGCGTCGTTCATGTTAGCGAGAATCCATGATTGTAACCACCCTTAGGTGAATGCAGCCATCACATCTAACTTATTATTGTTGTGTCTGGAACTTGTTATGACACGTGTCAACCTGATGTTATGACTAATGTCACACTTGCCACAAGTTGACATTGTTTGTGTAAACACAAATGCCCAAGTTGCAAAACTTATTGAACGCCCCTCGTATATCTCTTGTATCCGAAATGTCTAAATATTGTTTCCAACAAAACTAGTTTGCAGAGTTACACACTGGTCCATGTGCGTTCACTTACTCTCGTTCTTTAAACATCAAAGAAAAAATGTAAATTTAAATTCAGAAGTCAATTTGTATTTGTGAAACATTAAGCTGATGAACACAATGCATTTATAAGGACAGCAGCTATCTCTGTAACTACAGTCGAACTGAAGTCAGCTATGTGTAACTATATTCTTATCTACCAATCATGCCAGACAAGAAAGAAAAACTACCGTCCTCGAGGCATATTGCCCATCAATTCTGGAAGTTATCTGTAACTATATAGCAGCGAACTGACCGTCACGCCGCTCTACGTAATCCCAAGTGTGGATGTTGCCCAAACTTGACCACGGAATGGGCTAACCTGATTACGCCGAGTTACTACATCTTGATTGAATATCTGTACAGTCCCACCCCCTTCACTGCCCTGGGACAATATAATATCAGCGCATCCTTTATTAGTGCATCCTTGAATTATACGTATTATGCTTCAAAAGCAATTTCTTATGAAAAGTACATTGAAAGATTTTATCTGTTCAGCAAGTTAACATATTTTTGTTTTGCAGTAAATATTTGTGTTTGGTTTAAACCACTTCCCCAGCTCGGAATTCCTCGGGAAATAATGGGGAGTTACATAGGGCACAAGTTGTTTCATTTCTGTCGCTCTACTCTGTCAAAGTGTGGCCAACTTGTAAAATCCGTTTTTGTTGTAACTCTTCCAGACAAATTCCTTCTATGGCAATTATCTTTTTGGTGTTTGGTCTTCAGAATATCATATTATTGTCATAATCATATTTTTTTTTGTAAGATGAAATGCTAATGATGAAACAAATTAAGCAATGTGACGTTCGAACCTAGTTTAATTGATAGTGGATAAAGAATACACTGATAATAATATTTAGAGTTACTTCCCCTTTGTATTTCCAAGATGGCGACAGTGAAACTTTTCTCAGCGAGTCGGAATGGTATAAAGTGTATTTGCTTACCTCTTTCAGCTGTATTTATAATGGCAACATTAGCTTGTAATTTCAGATAACATTTGACACAATGCATATGCTCGTATGCATACAGATTTTCTATGGACGCCGTAGATGTTACATTTTATATAACCTCGTTTGACCTTACCATTTTGAACATCGTAATATCTTCAGTTTTCGCACACAATACGTCTGCGAAGTGCAATAGGGCTAGTGACATGTATGATGAACTCCCTATGTTTATAAATATATACAGATCCTCTCGTCCTTGTCTAGAGCAACCTGGATATCATATTAATAAACCCCCACTTCCCTTATCCTGATACAATATTGAATGTGTATTAGACATGTTAGAAACTGAAGTTATTGACAGCGAACGAAACACGGTAATTTCTCAATACCAAGACTGCAGTTTAGCGTGCGCAACTTGGCTCTTACTGCTGCTGTTGCTTTCACTTCACTGATATTGGCTCACGGTTATTTGTGTTAGGGTTAGGGTAGGTTATCCCAACTCTGTCCTTAGGCCTTAGGATCCACCCCATTATGATCATTAGGTGAGATACCCCATTCTGGTCAAACACGCCTTTACGATCCTTTGGGTTAGACTTCCCCTTATGATCCTTTGGGTTAATTGAGAGTTAGGAAATTGGTAAGCTGTCTCACCTCTTTAAAGAATGAATCAAATATGATTTTAGGAAATCTGTAAGACTTTGTAAACGAGAACTAATTATTTGTGATAGTGCCTGTAGTCCTAGGGTAAAATGTTGGCCAATTAGAACTGGCAATGCGAGATCAATCCTATGTGCAGTGCTAATTGAAATCTGTGAAAGTGTGCCCATTAAAGTAGCCCCCAAACTATAATAATTTAGATTACACTATATAAACGTGGACTGACAGTTGTGATGATTTCTTGTTTAGCCCAAAGTCTGTTACGTCATGCACTGAAACCGACCTGTGTGGGACAGAACAGATCACACTGGAGTAAGTACAGTTTGCCGAATTTGAACTTAACCATTGTTACCCAATGATTATTAACCAGATTAAAATATTTGAATGAATTATTTATCTGTTAACCATGTTTCCTAGTTCAGCTTGTTGAATATATTTTTCTGTCATTGATATTGCAGAATCATAGGTTGGATCACTTTGTTTCTGTATCTGATGAGGAGAGCTGTATTACTTGTCATCATGATCATCGTGTTCATCACAATGTTGTTATTCTTTACTCATTTTCTACTAGAGGATGTCAATCCACAACTTTGACGTTACTTGTCCGCTGAACATACACCTTATTGAAGGTGTTTAGCATGTTACATATCTGTTGCTAGAGGATGTCAGTCCGCCGGAGCCTGGCATGGATTGGAAGTCTACAACAGACAGAGCTGCAGCCTCCGCCTTCTGGACTGAGCTTGTGAAAGGTTTGTTCTGTTTAAAACAGACAGGAACATTGTCATCATTATTACGCCATTTTTACGTTTACATGTTATAAGGCGGACACAATCATTGTTCTGTTTTAATGAAATAACAAACTATTATTACCATGATTTCTAGGTTTTCCCGTCATCATGGTCATGGTTGTAGATTGAACCTGAATGATCCTAACCATTTTGTAACTTGTAAAGTTGTAAATTGTTCATTTTGTTAAAAAAAAAGAATTATGATGAAAGAAATCAATGGTTAGTCCAAATTATTTTGAATAGCTGTCCATTAGTAATGTTCACACAGTTAGTAACTTTAGATTGCAATTAAAAACATGCTCACAAATTTGCTGAACGTGATTGTTCAACTGACCAGGTTTTGGAGTGACTCTGGGAATGATCTTCAAGGAGCCAGCCACCATCAACTACCCCTTTGAGAAGGGTCCCCTCAGTCCCAGGTTTCGTGGGGAGCATGCTCTGCGGCGCTACCCCTCCGGTGAGGAGAGATGCATCGCCTGCAAACTCTGTGAAGCTATTTGTCCTGCACAGGTAATCTGAACCATTGTCTTCTACCTTGGTTCCTACAGGATTGTCCAAATTAGTACTACTGTCTTTTGTGAGTAGTCCAATGCCCAACTTTTGTCTGGTCTTGTAACCTCAACTTATATTTATAAATACTCAGGACACAAAATCTACTGTAAAGATGGCAAATAATACCACAAGACAAGGTTGGTATCCAGTTGTGTTGTATATATATTGGTATGATCTCAGTGATTAGACCATGCTTGTTAGCATCAGGCTGCTTATACACTTATATTTCACTTTTGCTATTTGCAATGGATTTCATCAGGTACAATTTTTCTAGAAATGTAGGTCTTAGTTCTTAAAAGATGAGTTCATAAATTCATTTGTTCATATCGTATATATCACACATATTTTTAAGGTATATGTTTGTAGGCTGAAATGTTCTGATGACAGCATGATAAGATGTAAGTAAAATTTACTAACAGCCTGGCATGTTGGGTTCCAGGCTATCACAATAGAGGCAGAGGCACGGTCTGATGGTAGCCGGCGTACGACGAGATATGACATTGACATGACAAAATGTATCTACTGCGGCTTCTGCCAGGAGGCTTGTCCTGTGGACGCCATTGTTGAGGTGAGTGCTCTCCCCTGCAGGGAGCCATGCTGTGGTCATGCTACAAACTAGAGCCACCAGGATGCATGGAGTTGGTAACAGTATCCTTATCATGTGATAGTTGGTCAGCTTGAACTATAGTGTGTCTGTATTGGGTGTCCAGTGCACAGTGGGCGGTCAGCTGGAACTATAGTGTGTCTGTATTGGGTGTCCAGTCCAAGGGCTGGGACAGGTAACTCGGGTACTTGGGTCGGGTGGGCCCCGAGTAGGACCCAGGTACCCACAGGACTGGTCGGACCTGTTGGTCAAGTGATATGTTGTTTAATGACAACAACAATACAACTCCATGGTTCCATGACAAGTTGTTCGCAGTTCTCTCTGACTATGCACACATTCATTCTGACTTTTAGATAAAGATATATGAATAACGATTAAGCTTCAGTCAACTTCCGTGTATGCAGGATCATATTGTTTTATAGTTGCATATAAAGGGTTTTTGCCAGTACTCTTGTAAAATTATTCGCAATCAGATATTTTGGACCCGGGTAGGGTTGGGTACCCGGGTAGTAAATTTGGCCTCGTCCAAGCCCTAATACCCATGGCAAGGTTGGTTTCACCAAAGTGGTAAATATGGTTGTTTGTTGTTTAATGCTTCACTCAGCAATATTGCAGCTATGTGACGGCAGTCTGTAAATAATCTAGTCTGAACCAGACAACCCAGTGTGGGACACCATGAGCATTGATCCATGAAATTGGAATACAATGACATGCATTAGTCGCCTCTTACTACAAGCATCGTCGCCTTCTACGGCAAGAATGAGTTGCTGAAGATCTATTCTATCTCGTATCTTCACCATGTTCACGGGTCGTAAATATGTAAGACCCGCGAGACTGTGATCTTTTTCCCACACTGAGCTGTGTAACTGAAATACTGTTGGAAGTGGTGCTGAACCCAACCCACTTGGCTGTGAATGATTCATGTGGACATCAAGCCTAGGATACTCAGTTTCTATTCTTGCAGGGTTGGGGGCACGGGTGGCCTAGATGTCTAAGGTGCTGGGATTTGCTGTGCAGAGCTGTGTCCCTTGGGCAAGCCAGATACCTATGATTGTGGGTTCGAATCCAGGTTCGCCCCGATTATGTTTCTAGGTTTGTCAGCACCCGTGCTCGGGGTTTCACCAAAGTGGTTAATGTCTGAGACCTGCATCACTTTGAGCTTTCCTTCCACATTAAGCTGACACGCCGTGATATGACGAGAATACTGTTAAAAGTTAAAAATTCGCTCACTCGCTCACTCACTCTTCTTGCAGGGTCCCAACTTTGAATACTCCACCGAGACTCGGGAAGAGCTGCTGTACAACAAGGAGAAGCTGCTCAACAACGGCGACAAGTGGGAGGCAGAGATAGCGGCCAATCTACAGGCCGACTACTTGTATCGATAGATGCATGGCTGAGTTACAGTGACATTCTTCACGATGCCAACCAGCTGACATCACATACCTGGAGGCTCAAGACAACATGGTTCTCTACCAGGAAGACAGAACCTCTTACATCTGTCAAACATGTATTGAGATAAACACTTATGACATATCTTTGAAAAAGTAATTTAATTCACTACAATGTCCCTGGCTCGTAGCAGTACATTTTTGTGTTTTGTTTTTGTTGTCCTAAGCCTCCTTGTTCGGAATTTGCCGGTTGCCATGGTGAAAAGAAGAACGAATGAGAGACTTTGCCATCTTGGGAGCTCAGTGTGCACAGTTGTAGTGAGCTTGTTCATGTTGAAGATTTCCTTGATTGTGTCGCCTGATGCTGTAGTGTGTCTGTCTGATTGTACATAAAACCTACAGTTGTACCTAAAACTGTGGTGGAAACGCCTGTATAAAATGACTTGAGAAACACAAATAAAATGTATTATGTTCAGAATGCCTCCCTTTTTTTTACAGCACAAAAAGGGTTTATCTTTGATATTGTAGTTGGTTATTATTGCCGTTCCATGGTGGCTGACACATTGCTATTGTGAAGAACTCTCCACAATAGCCTGCACCACACCATTCTGAAGAATTCTCTACAATGGCATTCACCACACCTTTCTGAAGAATCATTTACAATAGCATTCACCACACCATTCTGAAGAATTCTCTACAATGGCATTCACCACACCATTCTTTAGAATTCTCTACAATAGCCTGCACCACACCATTCTGAAGAATTCTCTACAATGGCATTCACCACACCTTTCTGAAGAATTCTCTACAATAGCATTCACCACACCATTCTGAAGAATTCTCTACAATAGCCTGCACCACACCATTCTGAAGAATTCTCTGCAATGGCATTCACCACACCTTTCTGAAGAATTCTCTACAATAGCATTCACCACACCATTCTTTAGAATTCTCTACAATGGCATTCACCACACCATTCTTTAGAATTCTCTACAATAGCCTGCACCACACCATTCTGAAGAATTCTCTACAATGGCATTCACCACACCTTTCTGAAGAATTCTCTACAATAGCATTCACCACACCATTCTGAAGAATTCTCTACAATAGCATTCACCACACCATTCTGAAGAATTCTCTACAATAGCCTGCACCACACCATTCTGAAGAATTCTCTACAATGGCATTCACCACACCATTCTGAAGAATTCTCTACAATAGCATTCACCACACCATTCTGAAGAATTCTCTACAATAGCCTGCACCACACCATTCTGAAGAATTCTCTGCAATGGCATTCACCACACCATTCTGAAGAATTCTCTACAATAGCATTCACCACACCATTCTGAAGAATTCTCTACAATAGCATGCACCACACCATTCTGAAGAATTCTCTACAATGGCATTCACCACACCTTTCTGAAGAATTCTCTACAATAGCATTCACCACACCATTCTGAAGAATTCTCTACAATAGCATTCACCACACCATTCTGAAGAATTCTCTACAATAGCCTGCACCACACCATTCTGAAGAATTCTCTGCAATGGCATTCACCACACCATTCTTTAGAATTCTCTACAATAGCCTGCACCACACCATTCTGAAGAATTCTCTACAATGGCATTCACCACACCTTTCTGAAGAATCATTTACAATAGCATTCACCACACTATTGTGAAGAATCCTCTACAATGGCATTCACCACACCATTCTGAAGAATCATTTACAATGGCATTCACCACACCATTCTGAAGAATCATTTACAATAGCATTCACCACACCTTTCTGAAGAATCATTTACAATAGCATTCACCACACCATTCTGAAGAATTCTGAACAATGGCATTCACCACACCATTCTGAAGAATTCTCTACAATGGCATTCACCAAACCATTCTGAAGAATTCTGAACAATGGCATTCACCACACCAATCTGAAGAATTCTCTACAATGGCATTCACCGCACCATTCTGAAGAATTCTCTACAATAGCATTCACCACACCATTCTGAAGAATCCTCTACAATGGCATTCATCACACCATTCTGAAGAATTCTGAACAATAGCATTCACCACACTATTGTGAAGAATTCTCTTTAATGGCATTCACCAAACTATTGTGAAGAATTCTCTACAATGGCATTCACCACACCATTCTGAAGAATTCTGAACAATGGCATTCACCACACTATTGTGAAGAATTCTCTTTAATGGCATTCACCACACTATTGTGAAGAATTCTCTACAATGGCATTCACCACACCATTCTGAAGAATTCTCTACAATGGCATTTACCACACCATTCTGAAGAATTCTGAACAATGGCATTCACCACACCAATCTGAAGAATTCTCTTTAATGGCATTCAACACACTATTGTGAAGAATTCTCTACAATGGCATTCACCACACCATTCTGAAGAATTCTGAACAATGGCATTCACCACACCAATCTGAAGAATCCTCTACAATGGCATTCACCACACCTTTCTGAAGAATCATTTACAATAGCATTCACCACACTATTGTGAAGAATTCTCTACAATGGCATTCACCACACCAATCTGAAGAATCCTCTACAATGGCATTCACCACACCATTCTGAAGAATCATTTACAATAGCATTCACCACACCATTCTGAAGAATTCTCTACAATGGCATTCATCACACCATTCTGAAGAATTCTCTACAATAGCATTCACCACACCATTCTGAAGAATTCTCTACAATAGCATTCACCACACCATTCTGAAGAATTCTCTACAATGGCATTCACCACACCTTTCTGAAGAATCATTTACAATAGCATTCACCACACCATTCTGAAGAATTCTCTACAATAGCATTCACCACACCATTCTGAAGAATTCTCTACAATAGCATTCACCACACCTTTCTGAAGAATTCTCTACAATAGAATTCACCACACCATTCTGAAGAATTCTCTACAATAGCATGCACCACACCATTCTGAAGAATTCTCTACAACAGCAAGTCCCACATGATCAAATAGGTAACTGGTGACCTGTATTATAAGGTATCCTTACAAATCAAGCAAATAGTGTCTGAATTAACCACAAGGCGACAACGCGATATGTTTTTGACCTTTTGTCGTATTGTCGAAATATGTCGCCCCATCAAAAATGTGTAAAAAAGGCGTTTGGACCACTGGATTGTCCAGTTCAGACTCGATTTTGTACAGGCCGTCGTCATATAGTTGCACATTGTTGAGTGGCGTTAAGCAACACTCACGCACGCACGTACGCATGCACGCACGCACGCACGCACGCACAGGCACACACCTTGGTTTATGTGAAGAAATACCAAAACACATGTAAGACTATGGAATCCTAGAAGGATACAGAAAGAAGTTAAAAGTGTCAAATCAACCAAAACGCGACAATGCGTTAACGCGACATTCTGACTAAGGTGTGTGTATGCGCGTGCGTGCGTGCGTGTTATTTAACGCCACTCAAAAATATTGCAATTATATGACGGCGGCCTGTACAAAATCGAGTCTGGATCAAGCAACCCAGTGATCGATACTGTGAGCAACGATCGATGCCGTCAGGATTCGATGACACACTGTCAACGAAGTCACCGATTCTGATTACCTGACCCATTACGACCAGCATAGATGAGTGAGTGAGTGAGTGAGTATGGTGTTTCGCCGCTTTTAGCAATATTCCAGCAATATAACGACGGGGCACACCAGAAATGGGCTTCACACATTGTACCTATGTCGGGAATGGAACCCGGTTCTTCGGCGTGACGAGCGAACGCTTTAACCACTAGGCCACCTATACTTGAACAGATGCATTATAACAGTCACGAGACAAATGTGATTGCAAGAATATGTTGGCTTTTTATGGATATTGCCTTATTAAAATATAACAGAAGTAAACTCATTTATATAAAAATGCATGTCTATTACAATCAGTTAATACAACTTCTACATATTGAACACTCTGACAACATACTTAACAGTTTGGGGCGATGAAATCAAAAACAAAATAATTATAATGATATTTATCAGGAATTTTGACCAGAGAAAATGTTCCTCTTTACCATGAGAACGAGCACTGATAGATCACAATCTACACATGGCTGACCTCAGTATATGAGATATTCAGCGTCAGACTATACCTGTAGACTCCATAATCCGTCTCATCTACTGATCGAGCTTAACTATCACATAGAACCACAACGATGTAAAATATCAATCAGTCTATCACTGACTTTGTGGGAAACGAGATAGCGTCAGATGGTTCCGCACGATAGACGTCTCTGAACTTCCTCTAAGATACTCACAACTTCCAAAGTACCGCCACGATTATCATTGCAGGAATGGCTGCCAAAATGTCACACAAGTATATCTGAATATCCGTTTTGAATTCAACTGATATATGAATGCTTCCGTTCTGTCTCTCCGGGTCGGGTTCCGCCATTGTCAACCTGTCGCCGATGTATTTGAGTCTCCTGGCGACAGCTCGCACCTGTTGCATGTCCATGGAGCCGTGGGTATGTCTGGAGCCGATCTGGAGAGCACCTGTCACATCATTATGGAGCCGCTTTTGACAGCACCTGCCACCAGAGCATGGAGATTATCTTGAGAGCACTTGTCTTCCGGCGATGTAGCCCATTAAAGAGCGCCTGTCATCAGACGATGGATCCGATCTTGAAAGCACTTGCCACCTGACAATGGAGCCAAACTAGAGAGTCCTTTTCATAAGATGAGGGAGCCGAACTGGAGAGCACCTGACACCAGACGATGGAGCTGATCTTGAAAGCACTTGCCACCTGACAATGGAGCCAAACTAGAGAGTCCTTTTCATAAGATGAGGGAGCCGAACTGGAGAGCACCTGACACCAGACGATGGAGCTGATCTTGAAAGCACTTGCCACCTGACAATGGAGCCAAACTAGAGAGTCCTTTTCATAAGATGAGGGAGCCAAACTGGAGAGCACCTACCACCAGACGATGGAGCTGAGCTTGAAAGCACGTGTCCCCCGACAATGGCCACACCGAGCCCATGCAGCTGCCCTTGTTTGCTGTTATAGATGTCCGTGTAGAATCTATGCAGGATTCCAAGTAAACCAACTCTCTCCGTGAACCGGTCTCCTCTGGTGACAGTGGCACCAGGTATGGTAGGAAGGAAGAACAGTGCAGGTCTTTTCACGTGTACAACACTGTGCTGAATATTCAAACTTTGAGACGTTTTGTTTCTTGTTTCCGACTGAAGCTAGCTCCCCGGCGCCATGTGGTCTCGAGTGCCCCTCCTCATTCTGCCCGGCGGGGAGATTACGCTGAGCGGAGACGGAGAGGCCACCTGGTAATTCTATCTGATGTTCTGATGAGTGGGCAGTGATGACACGGGAAGGGGCCGGGCTTTATGTTTAAGGGAGCGCGTTAAAGCTGTTCTCCACAGGGTCTCACGTGGTCCAAATGTTTATCACTATCGACAGATAGCAACCGGTGAAACTGGTGGAAGTATGTTGAAATAATTAATTAATAATTTAATTCAGCTTGAAAATCAAGCTGACAGGCCGTGTTTACTGAAATTCAAAGCCGCGAAAAACCAAAATCACTCACTCTAAAGGGTAACATTGTTTTGTTTGTTTGTTTGTTGTTTAACGCCGCACTCAGCAATATTCTAGCTATATGACGGCGGTCTGTAAATAATCGTGTCTGTACCAGACAATCCAGTGATTGATATATGAGCATCGATCCACGCAATTGGGATCGATGACATTCATCAACCAAGTCGGCGAGGCTGACCACCCGATCCCGTTAGTCGCCTTTTACAAGCATAGTCGCCTTTTACGGCAAGCATAGTCGCCTTTTACGGCAAGCATAGTCGCCTTTTACGGCAAGCATGGGTTGCTGAAGACCTCTTCTACCTCGGATCATCACTCACTCTAAAGGAAGACAAAACATAAACCTCGACAACTGTAACAAAACCAGAACACCCGACACACACAACCTTCTCACGGGTGACGCAGTTGCCAACGCCATGGATCCAGAACAATGCCACCATGACTACCAGAAACAGTTCAAGTTTTACAGCAGAATTAAAGAATTTTTGACAGCTCTCAAATATGTCAACAATCAGTCTGAACGTAAACGTTTTTTGATATTTCAGGTTCACAGTCGTGTCTCAGGGCAATTATGATCATTCACGTGGACATCCGCTTGTATAATGATCTGGGTCATGGCATCGTTTTTGCTGGTAACCCAGCCATGTTGGAATCTAAGGCATATATTATTCTAGTCACGATATGGCAGAAATACTGCCGATGTGCCGTTTGAAACAAAATTAAGATATTTGAGTATTGCGCAATATGCCCCCACCCCTCCCTTTCCCCCACGAATTAAGGAGCTCAATGCAGCGTCTTGTCCGAGTGTGTGCAGATCGATGCCAGTCGATGAAGCGATCCCTATCTGATGGCTAAGAGAGACAAGGGGAGAGGTTTCAGCGTTCAGAGGCGACTGTATGGCGGCCACAGTTTGCACTGCAATGAACCGACGGGGCGCTTCACACATTCCCAAAGTCCTCCACAATGTCCAATCTACTTTAATTGGCACGGTGTTTGATAATGCTAAATACACCAACTGTAGGCTGACGGTTTTCGTAACATTGAGGATTTGCTCTTTAAAGGTCCAAGGCACTTGTACAATTTCTCTTAATGGAAGTATGGTTTTACGGCGCTTTGAGCAATATTCCACCAATATGACGGCAGGCTGACTCCACATTGAATTTTTGTAGTGATATAAGTGTGTCAATCCAAAGCACCGATATGTTTCATATTTCATACGGAAAACAAGGAATCATTGGGATTCTGGGACGGAACATGTCCCCAGTACCCATGCTTGTAAGAGCCGAATGAGGCAGGGATTGTGTGCTGATTATGTACGACCTTGGCCCCGTTTCACAAAGCGATCTTAGCGTTAATACGACTTGGGCAAACCCTTGTTAAAGTTTTGTTTGTTTGTTCGTTGTTTAACGCCGCACTCACCACCACAATCGAGTCTGGACCAGACAGTCTCGTGATTGATATCATGAGCATCGATCTACGCAATTTGGGTACGATGACATGCATTAACCAAGTCAGCGAGCCTGACCACCCGGTTACGTTAGTGGCCTCTTACAACAAGCATAGTGGACTTACAGGAAGCATTGGTTGCTGAAGACATATTCTTACCTGGATCTTCATGGGTCGACTATGCTTGTGGCTGATGTTGAGAAGTAAGTAACAGTGAAAGTGGGTACAACATGGTTCATTCGAGAGTGGGTGAGTTGTTGAGTGAGTGAGTGACTGAATGCGTGGGTGGGTGGGTTAGTGAGTGGGTGGATGGGTGAGTGAATGACTGAATGAGTGGGTGGGTGAGTGGGTGGATGTGAGTTTGAGTGAGTGAGTGAGTGAGTGTGTGACTGAATGAGTGGGTGGGTGAGTGGATGGGTGGGTGAGTGAGTGACTGAATGAGTGAGTGGGTGGGTGGTTGAGTGAATGGGTGGGTGGATGAGTGAGTGAGAGTGAGTGACCGACCAAGTGAATGACCTTGTGAGTGAGTGAGTGAGTGGGTGGATGGTTTGGTTGGTGGGTGATTTTTTGGTGAGTGAGAGAGTGAGTGAGTTGGTGACCAAGTGAATGACCTTGTGAATGAGTGAGTGGGTTTGAGGGAGTGAGTGAACGACCAAGCGAATGACCTTGTGAGTGAGTGGGTGGGTGAGTGGGCAAGTGAGTGAGTGAGTGAATGAGTGAGTGACCGACCAAGTAGGTGTGATTGTGGGTAGATGGGTTAGTGAGTGGGTTGGTGGGTGAGTGAGTGAGTGAGTGAGTGAGTGAATGAGTGAGTGAACGAGTGAGTGAGTGAGTGAGTGAGTGATAATACAAACTTTTCATTACGCTTAACTACGCTATGTGTACGCTTTCAAACTTCTCTACCCGGCCATGGCATTGAACATCATACTGGCTACATAACCATGTAAGACAAATCTATCACTATTTATCATGATACTTGCACTTTACAGCTGCTTCATCAAAATCTGCTGTTCAACACGTCCACTTCATGTGAGAGAAAAGATCAAATACATAAAACACTTGATTGTCCCATCATCTAGTGCGGACAGACTGAGGACCATACATGAGACTGGATCACGTGACCTGCAGATCGCGGCCTCCACACAGCCAGAACGTGAAGTCAGTGCAACCAAGTATGCCCCACAAAAGGTTCTATATATATCACAAACAAGCATTAGTTGACAAATGTACACATTTATTGTACAGTATGATACAGTTTCACCAGCAACATGTTCGTTGTTGTAAAGTTGTCTCAAGTAAATGCTATGATTAGTCAGTATGTCCATGTAAAACTGAAGGTTGCCTGGTTTAATGCACTGATGTACACACAATCACAGACACTGCTAATCCCAGTTCGGTTGTCTATGGTGATTTACACATACACATTAAAATCTTGGACATAAAAAAACAAAATACTTATTATTGCTAAAATCTTTTTTAAAACCGAAGTCTTCAGATGTGTTTGTGTGAGTGTATACATCCTAGAGTATGATGGTGTAATCTAGTGACATGATAGCAGTGATTGGCCAGCACTGGGCCACTACTAGAGCTCTCCAGGGGAAGGTTCAGTAACTCATGATCTGAGTTTAGTAATAACAATGACAAAAAAATCATTTAAGAGTATAAAAAGAGACAAAGAAGCACATCTCTTATTTTTTACAGTGGAGGAACAGTATTCTGTATACACACGTATGCATGGACACAAACAGAAGTTCAAGTCGTATGAAACAGCCAGGTATATACTGTGGATGTAAGTGTCGGCCTGGTTGACACACACGCGGTAGTTCATATTGAGTCGTATGAAACAGCAAGGTATATATACTGTGGATGTAAGTGTCGGCCTGGTTGACACACACGCGGTAGTTCATATTGAGTCGTATGAAACAGCAAGGTATATATACTGTGGATGTAAGTGTCGGCCTGGTTGACACACAGGCAGTAGTTCATATCGAGTTGTATGAAACAGCCAGGCATATACTGTGGATGAAACAGCAAGACTTATGCTGTACTTGTCGATCTGGTCAATAGTTTGTTTCAAGTTGTACAGCATATCAAGGCGGATGTTGTAGTTGTCGATATGGTTGATACACACACACGCACACAGTAGCTTGTTTCAAGTGGTATGGCACTGTAAGGCCGATGTTGTAGTTGTTGATATTGTTGATACACACACACAGCAGTTCATATTGTGTCATACGGCACGGCAAGGCGGATGTTGTAGTTGTAGGTGTCGGGCTGGTCATAGGAGGAATGGCAGATCTCGGGCAGTCCCTTAGTTGTCTGGTCAGCGGAGAAGTCGTACACCTGCAGTGATCCTCGGGACCTAGAAACACCAAGTCAGTGTCAAACAGTCCTCATAGGTTCCTGTCTGGTAACACCAAGTCTGTGTCAAACAGTCCTCATAGGTTCCTGTCTGGTAACACCAAGTCAGTGTCAAACAGTCCTCATAGGTTTCTGTCTGGAAACACCAAGTCAGTGTCATGTAGTCCTCACAGGTTCCTATCTTGTAACACCAAGTCAGTGTCATGTAGTCCTCACAGGTTCCTGTCTGGTAACACCAAGTCAGTGTCAAGCATTACTCACAGGTTCCTGTCTGGTAACACCAAGTCAGTGTCAAGCAGTCCTCACAGGTTCCTGTCTGGTAACTGGTAACACCAAGTCAGTGTCAAACAGTCCTCACAGGTTCCTGTCTGGTAACACCAAGTCTGTGTCAAACAGTCCTCATAGGTTCCTGTCTGGTAACACCAAGTCAGTGTCAAACAGTCCTCATAGGTTTCTGTCTGGAAACACCAAGTCAGTGTCAAACAGTCCTCACAGGTTCCTATCTTGTAACACCAAGTCAGTGTCATGTAGTCCTCACAGGTTCCTGTCTGGTAACACCAAGTCAGTGTCAAGCAGTCCTCACAGGTTCCTGTCTGGACACACCAAGTCTGTGTCAAACTGTCCTCAAAGGTTCCTGTCTGGACACACCAAGTCAGTGTCAAACTGTCCTCATAGGTTCCTGTCTGGTAACACCAAGTCAGTGTCAAACAGTCCCCACAGGTTCCTGTCTAGAAACACCAAGTCAGTGTCAAACAGTCCTCACAGGTTCCTGTCTGGACACACCAAGTCTGTGTCAAACAGTCCTCACAGGTTCCTGTCTAGAAACACCAAGTCAGTGTCAAACTGTCCTCACAGGTTCCAGTCTTGTAACACCAAGTCAGTGTCAAACTGTCCTCACAGGTTCCTGTCTGGACACACCAAGTCTGTGTCAAACTGTCCTCACAGGTTCCTGTCTTGTAACACCAAGTCTGTGTCAAACTGTCCTCAAAGGTTCCTGTCTTGTAACACCACGTCAGTGTCAAACAGTCCTCACAGGTTCCTGTCTGGTAACACCAAGTCAGTGTCAAACAGTCCTCACAGGTTCCTGTCTGGACACATCAAGTCAGTGTCATGTAGTCCTCACAGGTTCCTATCTGGTAACACCAAGTCAGTGTCAAACTGTCCTCACAGGTTCCTGTCTTGTAACACCAAGTCAGTGTCAAACAGTCCTCACAGGTTCCTGTCTGGTAACACCAAGTCAGTGTCAAACTGTCCTCACAGGTTCCTGTCTGGACACACCAAGTCAGTGTCATGTAGTCCTCACAGGTTCCTATCTGGTAACACCAAGTCAGTGTCAAACAGTCCTCACAGGTTCCTGTCTGGTAACACCAAGTCAGTGTCAAACTGTCCTCATAGGTTCCTGTCTGGTAACACCAAGTGTGTGTCAAACTGTCCTCAAAGGTTCCTGTCTGGACACACCGAGTCAGTGTCAAACTGTCCTCACAGGTTCCTGTCTGGTAACACCAAGTCAGTGTCAAACTGTCCTCACAGGTTCCTGTCTGGACACACCAAGTCAGTGTCATGTAGTCCTCACAGGTTCCTGTCTGGTAACACCAAGTCAGTGTCAAACTGTCCTGACAGGTTCCTGTCTGGTAACACCAAGTCAGTGTCAAACAGTCCTCACAGGTTCCTGTCTGGTAACACCAAGTCAGTGTCAAACAGTCCTCACAGGTTCCTGTCTGGTAACACCAAGTCAGTGTCATGTAGTCCTCACAGGTTCCTGTCTGGACACACCAAGTCTGTGTCAAACTGTCCTCACAGGTTCCTGTCTTGTAACACCAAGTGTGTGTCAAACAGTCCTCACAGGTTCCTGTCTGGTAACACCAAGTCAGTGTCATGTAGTCCTCACAGGTTCCTGTCTGGTAACACCAAGTCTGTGTCAAACAGTCCTCACAGGTTCCTGTCTGGTAACACCAAGTCAGTGTCAAACAGTCCTCACAGGTTCCTGTCTGGTAACACCAGGTCAGTGTCAAACAGTCCTCACAGGTTCCTGTCTGGTAACACCAAGTCAGTGTCAAACTGTCCTCAGGTTCCTGTCTGGTAACACCAAGTGTGTGTCAAGCAGTCCTCACAGGTTCCTGTCTGGTAACATCAAGTGTGTGTCAAACTGTCCTCACAGGTTCCTGTCTGGTAACATCAAGTGTGTGTCAAACTGTCCTCAAAGGTTCCTGTCTGGACACACCAAGTCAGTGTCAAGCAGTCCTCACAGGTTCCTGTCTTGTAACACCAAGTCAGTGTCAAGCAGTCCTCACAGGTTCCTATCTTGTAACACCAAGTCTGTGTCAAACAGTCCTCACAGGTTCCTGTCTTGTAACACCAAGTCAGTGTCAAGCAGTCCTCACAGGTTCCTATCTTGTAACACCAAGTCTGTGTCAAACTGTCCTCACGGGTTCCTGTCTTGTAACACCAAGTCAGTGTCAAGCAGTCCTCACAGGTTCCTGTCTGGTAACACCAAGTCTGTGTCAAACTGTCCTCACAGGTTCCTGTCTTGTAACACCAAGTCTGTGTCAAACAGTCCTCACAGGTTCCTGTCTGGACACATCAAGTCAGTGTCATGTAGTCCTCACAGGTTCCTGTCTGGACACACCAAGTCTGTGTCAAACTGTCCTCACAGGTTCCTGTCTGGTAACAACAAGTCAGTGTCAAACAGTCCTCACAGGTTCCTGTCTGGTAACACCAGGTCAGTGTCAAACAGTCCTCACAGGTTCCTGTCTGGTAACACCAAGTCAGTGTCAAACTTTCCTCATTGGTTCCTGTCTGGTAACACCAAGTCAGTGTCAAACAGTCCTCACAGGTTCCTGTCTGGACACACCAAGTCTGTGTCAAACAGTCCTCACAGATTCCTGTCTAGAAACACCAAGTCAGTGTCAAACTGTCCTCACAGGTCCCTATCTGGTAACACCAAGTCAGTGTCAAACTGTCCTCACAGGTTCCTGTCTGGACACACCAAGTCAGTGTCATGTAGTCCTCACAGGTTCCTATCTGGTAACACCAAGTCAGTGTCAAACAGTCCTCACAGGTTCCTGTCTTGTAACACCAAGTCAGAGTCAAACTGTCCTCACAGGTTCCTGTCTGGTAACACCAAGTCAGTGTCAAACTGTCCTCACAGGTTCCTGTCTGGACACACCAAGTCAGTGTCATGTAGTCCTCACAGGTTCCTATCTGGTAACACCAAGTCAGTGTCAAACTGTCCTCATAGGTTCCTGTCTGGTAACACCAAGTCAGTGTCAAGCAGTCCTCACAGGTTCCTGTCTGGTAACACCAAGTCAGTGTCAAACTGTCCTCACAGGTTCCTGTCTGGTAACACCAAGTCAGTGTCAAACAGTCCTCACAGGTTCCTGTCTGGGCACACCAAGTCAGTGTCAAACAGTCCTCATAGGTTCCTGTCTGGTAACACCAAGTGTGTGTCAAACTGTCCTCAAAGGTTCCTGCCTGGACACACCAAGTCAGTGTCAAACTGTCCTCATAGGTTCCTGTCTGGTAACACCAAGTGTGTGTCAAACTGTCCTCAAAGGTTCCTGTCTGGACACACCAAGTCAGTGTCAAACTGTCCTCATAGGTTCCTGTCTGGTAACACCAAGTGTGTGTCAAACTGTCCTCAAAGGTTCCTGTCTGGACACACCAAGTCAGTGTCAACCTGTCCTCATAGGTTCCTGTCTGGTAACACCAAGTCAGTGTCAAACAGTCCTCACAGGTTCCTGTCTGGACACACCAAGTCAGTGTCAAACTGTCCTGACAGGTTCCTGTCTTGTAACACCAAGTCTGTGTCAAACAGTCCTCACAGGTTCCTGTCTGGACACACCAAGTCAGTGTCAAACAGTCCTCACAGGTTCCTGTCTGGACACATCAAGTCAGTGTCAAATTGTCCTCACAAGTTCCTGTCTGGTAACACCAAGTCAGTGTCAAGCAGTCCTCATAGGTTCCTGTCTGGTAACACCAAGCCTGTGTCAAACTGTCCTCATAGGTTCCTGTCTTGTAACACCAAGTCTGTGTCAAACTGTCCTCACAGGTTCCAGTCTGGACACACCAAGTCTGTGTCAAACAGTCCTCACAGGTTCCTGTCTGGTAACACCAGGTCAGTGTCAAACAGTTCTCACAGGTTCCTGTCTGGTAACACCAAGTCAGTGTCAAACAGTCCTCACAGGTTCCTGTCTGGTAACACCAGGTCAGTGTCAAACAGTCCTCACAGGTTCCTGTCTGGTAACACCAAGTCAGTGTCAAACAGTCCTCACATGTTCCTGTCTGGTAACACCAGGTCAGTGTCAAACAGTCCTCACAGGTTCCTGTCTGGTAACACCAAGTCAGTGTCAAACTGTCCTCATAGGTTCCTGTCTGGTAACAGTCAGTGTCAAACAGTCCTCACAGGTTCCTGTCTGGACACACCAAGTCTGTGTCAAACAGTCCTCATAGGTTCCTGTCTAGAAACACCAAGTCAGTGTCAAACTGTCCACACAGGTTCCTGTCTGGACACACCAAGTCAGTGTCATGTAGTCCTCACAGGTTCCTATCTGGTAACACCAAGTCAGTGTCAAACAGTCCTCACAGGTTCCTGTCTGGTAACACCAAGTCAGTGTCAAACTGTCCTCAAAGGTTCCTGTCTGGTAACACCAAGTCAGTGTCAAACTGTCCTCACAGGTTCCTGTCTGGTAACACCAAGTGTGTGTCAAACTGTCCTCAAAGGTTCCTGTCTGGACACACCAAGTCAGTGTCAAACTGTCCTCATAGGTTCCTGTCTGGTAACACCAAGTGTGTGTCAAACTGTCCTCAAAGGTTCCTGTCTGGACACACCAAGTCAGTGTCAAACTGTCCTCATAGGTTCCTGTCTGGTAACACCAAGTCAGTGTCAAACAGTCCTCACAGGTTCCTGTCTGGACACACCAAGTCAGTGTCAAACTGTCCTGACAGGTTCCTGTCTGGTAACACCAAGTCTGTGTCAAACAGTCCTCACAGGTTCCTGTCTGG